TGACAAAGTGTTTTCATTTGGTTTTGATAATGCTACTAATAATACTGCAGCCATTCCTAGACTTAGAGAAATTTGCCCACCGTCTACGGCTATGGGTAGATTTCTGCATCAACGGTGTGCCTGTCATGTTTTAAATTTATGTGTTCAACAGGGACTAGAAGCTATGGGCGGAGTTTTGACGAATATTAAAGAAGGAATTAAAAGAATTTGGGGGGCTCGTCTTGTTTCGAAAAAATGGAAGATTTTCTGTAAGTCTAAAGGTAGAAAAGAAATAGTTTTTGCAAAAGATATCCACATTAGATGGAATAGTACATACAAATTGATTCATCAGATTCTAAAATATAAAGAGGAACTTGCTGAATTTTTTAGTGATGAACTTCGTATAATCATTGATCCTTTTGAATTTGTACTTGTTGAAAAATTGAATGCCGTATTAGAAGTTTTTAATAACGCAACTCTTACTTTTTCTCATGTTTACCAACCAACTACAAATACATTTTTAAAAGAGTGCGTTACAATCGCAACATGTTTTCGTGAAAGTAAGGCTGATCCAGATTTGTACCCATATGTCTCTCCTATGATACAAAAATGGTGTTCTTATTATTTGTACATTCCTGATATTTATAAAATAAGTATTATTTGTGATCCATGCTTTAAAATTGAAAATTATAAAATTCTAATTGATTATTACTACAATTGTTTTTTAGATGAAAATAGTTATTACTATTCTTATTTAATAGAATGGAAAAAAGAAAGAGATAATGCTGTAACTTTTTTTGAGAATTTGTTTGAGGAATATCAAGGGTCATACGGCACTGTACAAGAAGAAACAGCACCACCTCCGCCCCCGAAATCAAAAAAAGGTTTTGCCGGAATAGTCGGTGGGCTTCTTGCAAAGAAAGGAAAGCGTGCTCATTCTTCGACGAGTTCAAGTGGTACAACAGTAAGCTCGCACAACGAACTTGCTATGTACCAGGGTGTGCCATGCGATTACGATGAAGACGAAGTGGATTTTGATGTGCTCGGATGGTGGAAGCGGAACGAACACATGTTCTCATGTCTCGGCATGCTAGCAAGACAAGTGTTATCCGTTCCGGTATCAACCGTAGCAGTTGAACGAGAATTCAGTGCTGGCGGCAACATTCTAACCGACTAAGCTTCAACAGAATCGCGACTTAGAGAACTTTGTGAACAAACGTTGGTTCTAACCGAGAACCGTTCTGCAGCTCGAGTTCTCAGTTGCATGGTTGAGCTTAACCTCGTAATGTACTTACGTTGTTGTCTACCTTCACCGAGTTCTGAAGAATAAGTTATAATTTTTTTTGTTAATGTAAATATGTAATTAGTTTTTTTAGCTGAGCGATATATAAGCTCCTTCGAGGGTTTCTTTACGATTCTTTACCTCGTCGCTTTTTTTGAACCGTCAGGATATTAAATGTGGTTGTTCTTCAGTTAGTGTATTATTCATTTAAAATATTTAAATAACAATTACATTTTTAGATTTTTGACTTCATTCTTTCCTTAAACAATTGCAAATTTAAAATTTTATACTTAAAAATTTTAAAAAAAGCAAAAAAAAAATAGGGGGGGGGGCGAAACCGGCCGGCCCGGTACCGGAACCGCCGGTCCGGGAACCGGAACCGGTACCGGCCGGCACGGTGACGGTTCCGGTGACATGGGGTGGCGGTACCGGAACCGGCGGTTCCGGAACCGGAACCGTACCGTGTCCACCCCTACCTCCCAACCACTATATAGCCATTTACCCATTTGAGAGGATCTTCCGCTGGCAGGCGCAGAGAACCCCTCCCCCACCCACCCACCCACTTGGCCATTTAAATTCAAAAAATAAACAAATAAAAATATAAAATCTACCGGCTTGGAACCGGACCAAACCTGGAACCGATCGGTTCTAATACCTACCCTACGACCCCGGGACCGGTACAGCCATCTCTGTTCTGATACTGGTTCCCACCCCTCGCCTACCGTTGCTGTCATTAGTTCGGGTGTCGGAACTGCCGATATTGATTCCGATAGCGGTTCGAAATCGGACCAGTGTCCACCCATAGTTTGGTTGGAGGGAAGGGGAGGAAAAATGAACCCTACCCTCGTGTGATCTAAAAATGAGCAAGGGGAGGAAACTTCATTTTTTGTCTCTCATTCCGACCCCTCCCCTTCTTTTCATTCCTTCAAAATTGGAAGAATTGCCCAGCTCTTCCGTCTCACTCTTCATCATCTCACCCTCCATACCTCAAACTATGTCTGCAATTATGAGATTTTATAATTTTTTTATCAGAAACTTTCAATTATACACAATAATTGAGTGCATTAGTATTTCAGATTGTTTTAAATTATTCCAATTTTGTGTGTGTGTGTGAGGTGAGTTAAGAGTACTCTGTTAGCATAACGAAGTACGATTAATTTGCATAATGCGAAAATATTACAGTATTTGAATGAATTATTTTGAGATGTAGACTTTTTTGTATAAAAAAATGACTTTATGTTTTGTCAAGCTCAAATTGAAAAAAATAACTTGTCTTACATTTTAAAATCTGTATTACAATATATTTAAATTGAAATTATATGACCAAACAACAGAATATTAAACTTTCTTTGCCCCCCTCGAACCAAACAAGGTGATAACCCCTCTCTCCCCTTCCCATTTTTCCCATTCCTCCATCTTTGCACAATTTGGGAATATTTGTGCTTTCATGATCCTAAGGTCCATATATGAAATATAGACCTTCTCACATTTTTTATGAGCAGCCATGTAGATTTTTTATTTTTTTCAAAACGCTCAATTCTCTCATACTCTTATAGTCTTATAGTATTTGTAAATAATTAAGGTCCATAAAATGAGTGTAGACTTTAGAACTACAAAAGAATTTGTCATTTGGAAATGACAGGCCAAAAGGCGGCTAACCTCTAGAAAATTACTAGTGGTGACGCGAGACTTGTTGAAATAACTCGCATGTCCCTCTACTATCACAAAGCAATCAGGGGCCCTTACATTTTATTGTATCATTCTGGGAGGGGATATTTTGCCAATGATCGTTAAAAATGTATTTTGATAATTTTGCTCTTAATGATTTTGTGTTAGTAAAGCTCAAAGCCTTCACTTTTTAGTTCTTTTCTACACTTTGTTTCCTTTTTAATTAAGTTTTCGCAATTTCTAATGTAAATATTTTTCAAAAATTCAAAATTGTTTATCTAACATAAAAAATAAAGATAATTTAAATGACTACAATAAACACAAAATGAGAAAAGTAGATTTTCAATAAGTCATTAAATGAAATAGTTGATAAAATATCCTCTTTCAGTCTTTACAATAAAATGTAAGAGTTTATAATGTTTTTTTAAGAATAGAGAGACATGTTGACCTAGCAAAACACACTCGAACCTAATAACTCGAACCGAATAACTCGTAATCGAATCCGAAATAGCTCAAAAACTTAAAAACTAAATTAAACCTGAACACTCGAAAGATCCAAACCGAACCGAATGTATTCAGATCCGATTCAGATTGGAATCCGATTGAACCCGAACCGATTAGACCCAAAACCAATTAGATCCGAAACCAACTAGTCCCGAAAGTGATTAGACCCAATATCGATCAAATTCAAAACAAATTAAACTCCAATCCAGTCAAATCTAATATCTCATTGGTTGATATCTTTTTTTAGAAAAGCATATTTAAATTATAGATGCAACTAATTTCATGTACAAATCTTTTATTTCATATTTTATCACTTAAACGGAGGTCGTTATCTATTTTATATAGAGTAAATATAATTTATAGTGACATCGTAACACACAATGATGGATATCTTGACTCATTATTGCAAACACGTGTATATATACTGCCCTATACACACAGGGGGAAAGGATACACAGAAGGCTAACATTAGAAATTTTAATACCAAAGGAACTCATTTGAAACCGGTATAAACCTGAATCGGTATAAACCCGAACCGAAATAAACTCGAACTAAAACCCAAAAAAAATCAAACTGAATTAAACCTAGAACCAAATTGCACCGAAATGACCCGAACCGGTTATATACTATATAATCTGAAAGAGATCTGAACCGAAAAGATCCAAACCGAAATCGAAGCAATTGACCCAAATTCAACCGACCTGATCCGAACCCACCTCCCGTCTCCACTACCTCCTCTTTCCAATGCGGCCTTGCTAACTGCTGAGAAGTGAGACCAATAAGCAAACGCTTTAAAACACACCCCAATTTGTTTCTACTTATAGCGATTCTCAATGGCGTGTTTGGTCTCCATTAACGTCTGTGCGTCTCCGCCAAGCCCAAACCCTCCGATTCAGGTAGTCTCGGAAACCCTAAACGCAGCTTAGAATTCCTCTGGTATGACAGAACTTAACCATCTGAGTAGGTATCTTCTTCGAGTTGAAACATTGAAGGGAAAAGCGTTGTAGCATTCTCTTTAGCATCTAGTTGCTTGTTCTTTCCAGTTTTGCAGTAGCATTATTCGATGATAATGTAAATAGCGTTTATCTGTTAATGGATTGATTGGCCAAAGGCAGGGCCGTCTCCGAGAAATTAGGGGCCCTGGACGATACAGAAAAAAAAGGTTATTGTGTCATAATGAAATAACATTTATGAATTAATTTATTTAACAATAAATAATATTAAAAGAATAAAAATAATAAAATGTGAAATTCATAGTCTTATAAATTTATAAGTGCATACTTTGATAGCCAACTAAGAATTTGTGAAGTTCTTGTAGCATTCTTGAGAGCATTATAGTAATAAAAATAGTAAAATGTCAAATTCATAACTTCAAATAATAATCAAATCCATACGCAAAATTATATTAGTAATCTTAAATCAAATAAATTCTAAATACAATGCAATCTAATTTTTAATCCTCCGAGGTTAGTGTTCCTTTTTTAGAGTTTATTAAATAAATAAATACATATACATATATTTTATATATAAATAAATGGGGCCCCCTCTAAAAATGGGCCCTGTACATAGGACCACCCTGCCCATGGGTATAGCCGGCCCTGGCCAAAGGGTGAAAATGTTTTTGCCAGTTCCAAGTGTGGAGAAGGCTCATGTCTGAAGATTCTGGAAAAGTGGAAAAGAAAGATGACTCAGATCATACAAATTCTAGGTTTATTGCTCAAGAATCTGCTCTAAAACAAATAATGAAAATACTTTGGGGACCCCAAGAATTTGACCCCAAAACAACATCAAGGCAAACACTCAATGCCTGTGCGTCACAGGCATTGAGTGTGTGTGTGTTTGTGTTTGCCTTGGCGTCCACTTGGGGTCAAATTCTTGGGGTCGCCCTAGCACCACCCAACAAATAATAACCACATTCCTATTGAAGTTAAACACTTACCTTATTTAGATACCCCAAAATAGGATTCACATTTACTTTTAGGGAACAAATTTGCCGGTAATAATCTTTCTGCTGTGCTATATATTTGGATTGCTCTTCAATTGAAGGGCATTCAGGTGACATGTCTGGATATTCTCAAATCATTGTAACTCTTAGAATAACTTGGAATATTTTGACTCATTATAAGTGGGATTTTGTTTTGTAAAATTTATGATTCGTTTGGTGTTGAGTTCTGTCGTAATGAGACTTTGACGGATGGGGTCGAGATCTCTTCAATCTTGACCTCTTGTCTGATTAAAAAGGGTATAGAATAGTACTAGAAGCATTTTATACTTATGTTTGCAACTCAACCTATATTTGGCAGCTGAGAGTGCTAACTGACATTGTAATGCTGAGTTTATATGCATGTGAACTACTCTATAATAAATATGTCTCCTTGCTCTATTTGCCTTGACAAAAAAAAATCCACTACATGGTGCTTGCAATTTGGGGTGAGAAATGTGGAATATATAGCAGGTGCTTACTATATATAGCTTCCTCAATTGTTATTCTATTCTTTAAGATGACTACAATGTACAAATTGCAGATTAATTCCACAGTTTTTAAAGATATTTGGTTTAGATTGCCATTGAATGAGTGTGTTCTTATTTTCTGTTATAGGGCCTTGATACAACAAGATTGGATGGTGGGAAGTCTCTATTCCAAACAAAATGGTCAACAGGTTATTATTTCATATCACTGGATTTTCGTTCAACGGTAATTTTTTGAATTAGTTGTCTTATTAGCAACTTTAGCGGGAAAAAATTAGAGTTTTGTTTCAAACATTGTGTTTGTCCAAAACAATGTCAATTGTGAGAAAATAAAACAAATATCTCCTGCAATTTGTCAAAACATTGCAAAAAAAGAGTCATACACAAGTTACATATGATAAATTCAGTTAAACCAACAAAAAATAAAATTTATGATGGTTGTATTGTGCCAAAAATTAAAGGTTGGACATTGGCCAAAGAAGACTGCTCAAGTAAAACATCTTCATAAGCTCATCAACTTCCAGTCATTCATTCATGTAACAGGGAGGCTTCTGATGGCCAACCATTGGAACAGAGGCATTGCCAATATGAACAGGGAGAACGATCATTGTATCATCAGATCCACAACACATTTTCCCCTACACATTTCAAGCGATTCTGATACAGGCAGCCATTGCACCAAAATGAGCCTTTCTGGCTTTTGGGTGGGTCCCGGTGTTGAAGACGGATGGGGTTTTGTTGAAGCAATTGTGTATAGAACGTATTGATTTGCACTTGCACAAAAGTTTCTATCAAAACGAGGTTTTCTATTTTTATGAAGGTTTAGAAAGTGGTTTCCTGTTTGTAGATGAAGATATATAACCCAAAGCTACGCAATGCCTTAATTTTAGACCTCAATATTAGGTACATTAAGAGGTTAAACCAAACTAAACAACCCGGTATATCTTTCGTCTCAATTTGACTTCACGTAGTTTAAGTTACATTAAGAGGTTAAACCAAACTAAACCAACTAAAATGAGTGGTTGAAATTTGATTAGAGGAAAGAGAATGATCGTAGATCACATATTCTTTAATTTATTAGGAAAGTAAAAAAGTGAAGTAATTATTTTGAAATTAAACTAAAAAGAAAAATGAGATGATTAATTTTGAAAGGAAGAATAAGGCTCTCCTATTAGGGTTACCGAGGGTTTGTTTTTGAAGTTATACACAAGTTTTGGTTAACTTGGCAAGAACTCTAGCATTTTAAAAACTACGGAGTATTTAAGAGTAAAGTTTAATCTTAGCAATGTAGAAATTAATCTATACAATTAGAAAATTATATTCCATTCGTCTCAAAATAATTTTTACATTTGACTCTTTTAGTCCAACTTTACAAATTTTGATCATGAATTTGGAACAAGTCTATTTAGTTAGAATCTAAATTTAAAAAAAACTTCAGTTAACTTTAAGATTCAGTTTTGGTATACCATATTTTTATACTCTGCAAAATTCATGTATTTATAACTACATTTATTGATGCTTGAAATGTGACATTGGTAAATATAAAAAGTTAAATGTAATATTTTTTGGTACGGAGAAAATAACACCTTTTGCAAAGCCCCTAAGTCCACCCTTGATTCAACAAAAAGATGCACCCATGCTAAGCTCTCCCAAATCAGGTTCGGATTGTTACTTGAGAGATATAAATGAAAGTTTAATTTAAAACAATTGGAAATCAGATTTGTCCCAAATCCAACAAGGATATTTATGGAAAACATAAAAAATCTCACCATTTTTCAATGTTATTTACTTTATTATAATGTAGTATTTGTTTTGATTATTTTTAACCGAATGACCCACAAAGAAATCAACCCATCTGTTTCCGCTGGATCATATTGACCACTTTGGATAATATTGACCACTTTGAACTATGTTTTGGGCTCAACATTTCAAAGTTTAACGGGTTAGTTGTTGTACATTAGTGCAATATGGTTGTACTTCCTAGCACTAAATAGCTGATCAGCTCAGGCTACATGCTCGGTTCCGATGAAATGCGCACCCACCTGAGATTCTCCATAACTGATCTCATCACAAGAGGCATTCTGTCTTGAAGCGTATAAAGAGAGAGTCAGAGAGAGAGAGGGGATAGTGATCAATGGCAGGAATGGCAGCGATGACGCGGGCAAGTTCCGGCCTGGCGTACCCTGCCCGGTTCTATTCAGCGGCAGCTTACGTAGGCTTCGACGGATCCGCCGATTCCGGCAAATCCGTCACCTCCAAGTTCTCGAAAGACGCCGCTCTCTTGCTCTACGCACTCTATCAGCAGGTGCGTCCCGTACTAATCCATTTTTTGCTTCCATCGTGATGCGTATTTTTATGTATTCGTCAACAGCTTCATTCACCTCCATATCCTCCTGAGTTGTTGAATTTTAGTGTCGCTTTGTTGATTTTACGCCGTGATCTGATGTTGCATTGTGCGAACCATGACTTATTTTTCCAAATCGGCTAAGTTTTGTGAGATTTGTGGTGGGATGCGTGATTGGTCCATTAAATTTTACTAAACATTTGCTTTGATCTAGGTTTGCTTCGCTTTCATTTTTCCAACCCGTGTTAGGTTTTTTAATTTGATAACCTATTGTTTCAAATGGGATCATGTTTATTTGATGTATGGACATTTGGGCGGAGAAAAGGGTTTGCAAAAAGATTCTATCCATATTAGCCTAGTGTGATGACCTGTGGCCAATTTAAGACATTTGATAGAGGGGATTGACAATCAGATGTAGTCACTACAACGAACTGTAATTCATACTCTCTAGCCTTACGTTTGAGATGGATTTCTAAATTCAATGGAAACATGTTCTGAATATGTAGTTTTGAATTAGTTGGTTTAGTACAAGTTACTAGTTTTGGTTTTGCAAAGACTTTTTTTTTGAATTATTTGGTAGAAGTTTATGGAGGTGCATAGAGTATAGAGGGTTTTTGGTTGCTTACATCCGAGCTATTAAGGATATGTAGGATGCAGCGAGGTCGAGGACCGTGGTGAGGTTGATAAGAGGCGATTCAGATCACTTCTGAGTGAAGATAGGTTTACATGCCATTAGTCCAATCTTGTTTTCCATGGTGAAATATGTTTTGACCCAAAATATTGAAGGGGAGGTACCTTGGTGCATGTTGCTTAAGAATGACATTGTTGATTGATGAGATGGATGAATGAATGATGGATGGGACAATGACATCTTCCATAAATGAAAAGTGGAACGTTTTTTGGGGATGAACGAAAAAAGAAATGTGCAACCTTTTGTGGGACAGAGGGAGTATGAAATATGATTTACTTTATGAGCGGTAGCACAATACTTCTCCATGTTGGATCTCAGATCTGGATATTTCCATATAAGGGATAGGGAAATGGACTTCTAAAAAACTAGCTTTGTCACTCCCTAAGGACACTTTTGAGTAATGCTATTTGGATTATGTAATGCCACGGCTACTTTCCAAGTTCTAATGAACCAACTAAACCCTTACCTGAGGAAGTTTTTTTAGTGTTCTTTGATGAGAAATTAGTTTACACTTTACAGTAAGTCCTTGGATGAACATGTGCATCAACTGACCATTGTCTTGCAACTACTCAGACATAATCAGTTATATGCTAAGCTGAGCAGGTGCAGTTTTGGTCAGTAGAAGATGGACTATTTAGGCCACATCATATCAATAGGAGTATCAACAGATCATGCCAATGTTGAGTGTATGCTCAGTTGGCCTCCACCTACTACAGTCAAGTCATTGAGAGGCTTCCTCGGATCAACTGGGGATTATAGAAAGTTCATAAATGGATATGTGATAATCAGCAAACCCTTAACTGATCTACTGAAAAAGACTCATTCAGTGGGATGTGACAGCTATAAGGGCTTTTGATTCCTTGAAGAAGGCTATGACCTCAGCCCTTTTTAGCACTAATTGATTTTTCAGAATCATTTGTAGTTGAAACATATGTTTATGCAAAAGGAAGACCCATTGCCTTTTTCAGTAAGGCAATAGGCCCAAAACGCATGGGATTATCAATTTATGAAAAAGAGTTTATGACCTTACTTGATGCCGTTAACAAATGAAGGCATACACGGGAATCATTTTGTCATCAAGACTGACAAGGAAAGTCTCAAATACATCTTGGAACAAACAGTTACCACAGTATTATAGCAAAGTGGGTGAGCATGCTACTTAGGATGGAGTATGAAGTCCAGTATNGGGGGGGGGGGGGTAGAGAATAAGGTAGCTGATGCCTTATCAAAGGGACTCTGAGATGGATTTCCTATCTGTTGTGCTAGCAGTGCAACCAACATGGGTACGGGAGATTTTAGAGTCTAATGAAGGAGATTCTATAATATCTTATGTAGCATTGTAGGGGCAGCCAAGACAGTGGATAACTGTATTTTAATTGTTTTCCAGAATATACACTCCCGAGGAATGCTGAAGTTCAAGGAAAGAATTGTGATTGAACTGTAATTGGTTCTTCAGGAAACTTAAGGAGCAAAATCATCCCCTTCATTGAACTGTAAAAATATTTTTATGATAAAATAAATAAGTAAAATAATTTTTAATAATTAAGATACATCAAAAAAATGTAAAAAAGTGATAAAAATAATGACTTTTCAATGCAAGACATGTCACTCTACTCATTTGTCACTGTGTGACTTGGCCATTTTTATTGGTTCAAAGGTGACATGTCATTGTGTGGCATTCCATTTCTTCCATGCCATTGCTGATGCTCTAAAGGAATGTCCTTTTAATGCCTCCAGCAAGTCACTGATCTGAGTGCTGTGATAAAAGATGCATATTAGCTTAGATTCTGTAGAAAACAAGAAACACTTTACTAAAGGGTTTATTTTGTTTTTTGTTTATTTATCCGGATCGATTGTTGGTCTGGAGCTAATGCTTTCACTTTTGGGTGTTCTAACTAATTTGCAGGCTACCATCGGGCCTTGTAATATCCCTAAGCCTAGAGCATGGAGTCCAGTGGAGCAAAGCAAATGGACAAGGTTGGAGTCAATAACTATGTTTTAGATATGATTTGATTCATTTTCTCTTAGATATTTTCTTCCCAGTGTTGTTAACATTGTGCTTGATTTATGTTACATGGGGCTTAACATGGTTTTCCTTGCATCCCTTTGGAAGTATAGAAAACATTACATGCCTTACAATTACGTTAACAGGGACTTGCATCTAGAATACAAGTTAGAAGATGGCCACCTTTTTCATATCGTTCCCCTCACTGTGTATAGAATTTTATTACATGTTTATTCCTAGTATTTGAATTATAACATGTTTGAACTTTGATGAATATCCCAGGCACCCAGCAGCACTTGACTCTTGCACACTTAGATTCTGTAGTTTTTTTTCAGTAGTTTAGTTGTGAAAGTCATAATCTCAATGGTTTATATTATACTCCCTCCATCCCAATTTATATCGCCTATTTCGGTTTATGATGTATGACTAAAATTATTTTCAATGCAATTTATAAGAGAATTGGATTGAAAAATAAACTTTACATATTTAAAAACAACATCAAAAGCTCTACGAAATAAGAGGTGACATGACTATTATTTTATCAAATGAGTAATGGAATGGGGAAAGAAAGTGAGTGAAGTTTGACCCTGTGAATAGTAAACATGCAATTTAATTTGGGACGGAGGGAGTATCTTGATAGGCCTTACATTTTAGTGGACTACCACTCCCCTCAGCTTCCTATCTAAATGAGTTTCATATTTTTTAAGCTGGAATGGGCTTGGGAATATGGCTACTGCTGAAGCAATGCGTCTGTTTGTGAAAATATTGGAGGTCAGTATGAAATAGATTTTACTCTCCCAATAACATCAAATTGGAATTTCTCAGCAGCTTTTAGTTTTTTTTCTATGAATAGGAGGAAGACCCAGGGTGGTACTCTAGGGCATCAAGTTTTGATTCAAAGGCAGTTGAAGATGTAGAAATGAATGTGAGTGTGTAAGAACTGTCTTCATCTTCTTCCATTTTGTTTAAATTGGCTTTGTTTCTCCTATTGGGAATAGTTGCTCACTCTGTGAAGTGAAATCTTATATGATGTTTATACATTGCACCTTACAAGTTCTTTGGCTGACATATTCCTATTTGGTTCCTATTCTGTTATTTGCATAAATATAATACTAACAATTTCAACATTTTTTGCATATACTTCTGCTTTATTTGAACCCCTGAGAGAAAGCCTAGAAATCTAGAATGTTCCGTTTGCACAAAGTTATGAATATTTCCTGGCAACATTGATTCCTTGTAATTAAATGATTCTTCCATTTCTGGTCTACTTCATCTCTTTGTTGCAGCATAATCCAAACGTTGAGCCACTTGATGAAAATGGAAGTGCTTTACCTGATATAAAAGCTATTCCTGCTGAAAATGGCAATTTGCCAGAGGCTCTGGACAAAGATGACCTGCCAGAAGGCTCTGGTGCAGTTAATGTATATGACCAGTGGGTTGCACCTCCAGTATCTGGTCCACGCCCAAAACCAAGATATGAGGTATTTTGTTTTTTTTGCTTCTCTTTTTATGATATTGATGGATCATTTTCTTATTGGTTCGCCACCCTCTTCATATCTTAAGCAAAGTTTTAGTGTATTTTCACAGCATGGAGCAGCTGTCATTGATGATAAGATGTATATATTTGGTGGTAACCATAATGGGCGTTACCTCAGTGACCTCCAGGTATTAGACCATCTATATGTCATAAGTTACCCCCTCTTTCCCATTATTTATTAATGAAACCAAATTTTCTTTCTGCAATATTTCATTTTAATTTTCAAATTACTTTTTTATTTGATTGGTATAATTTTTAAAAATTTTAACAATTGTCTATTAGTCATAAAGTAAATATGAAAAGTTAAATTGTGCTTCTTCCGTCCTACAAAGGTGTATTTTGGTTTGACACACTCTTAAGGAAAATGTTTGTTAGTATTTGTGCGCATACCTAATTTCTTGTGGTTGCATGGGGAGTACCTAATCACACTTTCTTTATTGAGTATTCTGTTGGCCTTTGGTTCTACTCCTATGTTTTTTTTCTGGCTAATGCATCGTCAGCTGACACCCTTTGATATCTTTATAGTTTTAATTTTACAAAGCAAATGATTGTATAATGCCACCACACCCAAAAACACCCACACACAGACACTTATGGGTCATTTACTAATTAGAAATGTTTGTAAGAGCAGCGAACACAAAACTATAAACATCTTTACCAAAATTTCAGACATAGAGAACAGAAAAATGTTCTCCAACAATTTGGATAACACTTTTTAGGAGCCAATCATCCACCGCAACTACAAAAACTATCCGTGCCACTACTAGCCATGGGTCCTCTTCTTTCCACTATCCAAAACATAGTCCATAATGGATGACTGCCGCCACCAATGCCGGCCCTCACTCCTCATCCTCCATCTTCCACCCTGTGACCACCAGCAACCCCCACCTTTGACGATGACCACTCTTATCGCTAACTGCCATCATCAGCGTCTACTCTGATTGCCGACCGTATCCACTGCGGCCAATAATTCCAACTATCACAGCTTGACCCCCAAAATAGATTTTAGAAGTCATTGCAAAATATATGTTGGTAAACACATTTATCATATTAGAAAATAGCAAACTAGAGAACACAAGAAATTGCACCCCTTTTTTTGAAGTAGAAATTGCACCCCTAGTTATTCAAATATGCCACATTCATCTTTTGATGCAGGCTTTAGATTTGAAAAGTTGGACATGGTCAAAGGTTGATGTTAAAGCAGCTAGCGATGCTTCTTCTCCAATTGGTCCTTGTGCGGGTCATACCCTGGTCAGTATAGATTTTTTCTACACTTTTTTGTGAGATTCAATCGTGTAGTTGTTTACACGAGGGATACCTTAATATTTCAATGTTTTTTCACCGTTAGCATAAATCTCTACTTTTGTCTTGTAGATATCATGGGAGGGAAATAAGCTTCTTTCAGTTGGTGGGCATACAAAGGATCCTTCTGAAACTCTTCAAGGTATAGATATTTCTCTACAATATACAAAACACAATTTGCTTTGAATGCTTTCTAGTATTCTTGAATGTGTCAGATATAATTGCTCATGTATGCTATTGTACCAATGACACTGCTGCTTTGAGAAACGCAAAAATTGAATTGGTTTAACTTTTTCCCAACCGCGAGGTTTTTTGTGTGAATATGTCCCCCATCTTTTGACATTTTGCTTATTGTAATTCACTAATTCCAGCTCTCAAGGCTCATAGGCCTCCACACCTCCAAGCAAAGAGCTTTACTAAATAAATAAACTCCTAACAATAAGAATTTTACCAACATCTCGATATCATAGACTAGAGAAATTATGGTCTTTTGATAATTTTTCTTACTTTTGTGTGTGTAAAGTAGTCTTGTTTCTAGAATAACTTGTCTCGCTGCTTCGGGAATTTTTGCGTACTTCATTGCTTAGATCATTAAATTCAGTTAACTATAAATTGGGTTTGTGGGATTGGAACTCCCCAAAAAAGGCCATTTAAAGCAATTTCTACCGTTTCTCTTTTATGTATTTTTAGGGGGGAGAAATGCCTGCACTTTTTTATGATCTGGCTATGAAATATTGTATTATAGTTTCAAATTTTTTACTAATCGATATTTTTTTTCTTCATTTCCAGTGAAGGTGTTTGATTTGCACTCACATACATGGTCAACTTTGAAGACATATGGAAAACCACCGGTGTGTGATTGCTCCTTTAAGATTTTTTGTATCTATTTTTCATGTTCTGCTCAAAATTTCCTCCAATTCTAAACATGGAAAGTCTTTTGCCTTAAAGTTCCCAATTCTAAAAATGGCATGCCTTTTGCCCTAAAGAGTCAATATGTGCCTTTGTAATTCGCCAATTATCTGAAAAGCTGACTTGATTTGTCGTGGAATATTTAATTTTAAATAATAGTTGTTTGTGAGTTTTGTCTATATTAATTTTTTTCTCTCTGAAAAGACACTGCTTGGTATATGAACATAGTATTGTGTTTTTTTATCTCAAAATAAAAACTTTAAGGTCATGGCGGAGGTTCCACACCAACATGGCTCTGGATGTCAATAATTTTTCAAATGATTTTTCAGGTTTCCCGTGGAGGTCATTCAGTCACTGTTGCAGGAACTACATTAGTCATATTTGGAGGACAAGATGCAAACAGATCTCTTTTGAACGACCTGCACATTTTAGATCTAGAAACAATGACCTGGGATGAAATGGATATGCTGTAAGCACTTTAATATATTCAGAAGCTTGATTTTTTCTCTTATATGATTTTATTTTCCTCTTTCATGCTCTGAAGGTGTGAGAATCTTAAGAGGAAATGGTACAATATTGTGCTTGTTGTCTAAGCTATTACCCCTAGGAGTGCAGATTTTCAGAAGCTTAGGTTTCCCTTTTTAGATTTTATTTTCCTCTTTTTTCGTGTTTGAAGAATGATTAGAAACTTAACAGGTCATGGTGTAGAACTGTGCTTAGTGTTGATGTTATTATTCCTAGAAGCACACATTTTGTCCATCACCAAAATAATATTTCAAAATGTCTTATCCATTAACAAACAAAATTACTGCTTGCTTGCAGTATACTACTGTACTGCTCATGCAAAAATATTCATAAATATATCTACACATGTGTATCGCCTATGGTTGGAATCATTTTCTCATATGCACAACTGGATTTAGCAGCATAATTAAACTTAGTATGACTTGTATAACTGTTTTCATTTGGGTAGGGGTGTTGCTCCTTCTCCAAGATCTGATCATGCTGCTGCCGTACATGCTGAGCGTTACCTTCTTATTTTTGGTGGGGGCTCACATGCCACTTGCTTTAATGATCTACATGTGCTTGATTTGCAAACGGTGCGATTTTAAATTTGATTCTAGCACTCATTGGATTTTTTTTTCAAAAATTTGGCTTAGATACCATCCATTTTAATCTTGTAGATGGAATGGTCAAGACCCACACAACAAGGGGAGATACCTAGTCACCGAGCTGGTCATGCTGGTGCAGCGGTCGGAGAGAATTGGTTTATTGTCGGGGGTGGCAACAACAGAAGTGGTATTTGTTTGTATTGTTGTGTCTTTGGAGTTTAGTAGAATTTTCCAGCAGCTTTCAGTACTTGAAAATGTAGGCTCCTTTATTCACGGGCATCCTGGAAGCTATTAGCTTGAAGTAACTAAATTATATACGCCTTTATTTGCCATGTTAATGCAGATGTGTACTAACTGACACTATGCCCTCCCTTGATAGTTGATACTTCTATGTTGTGTTTCCTTAATCCTTGCAGGGGTCTCTGAAACAGTTGTTCTCAACATGTCTACATTGGTTTGGTCTGTTGTGACTAATGTTCAAGGACGTGTTCCCCTTGCTAGCGAGGTAGTATTTTTTACAGGGGTGTTTATTGTGCAAGTTATCACAAAAATATATCTTTAAGTATCTGAAGTAACAGTGTGTACTTCAAATTTTATTTGTTACAATTCTGAATCCATTCTTCCTCAGTCTTTTTGGGTGTGGGGATTATAAAAATTGTGAGGATTCGTACATGCAAATGGTTGTGCACTTGTGCTACTTCATTTGGATGTGAAGATTAAAACTAGAGTTGTGCACTCATATCTGCTTATAAATAAAAGCAGTATAAGGTAGGCTTGGAGGATGTTTAAATAATTGAAATTGCTATAGGGTAAAAAATGGATGCATTGGAGAAAGAATTTACATTTTTAGAGTAAATTTTATAATTAGACCTTTAAAATGAGAGTTTTCCATATTTAGTCTTCTATTACCAAATATTATGTTTGTGGTCCTTCGCTTATGGGTATCTATCCAGGGATAGTCCTTTGTTTGAGCTTCTGTCATGATTGTTAATTTGAGGTCTAAAACTGTAAGTTCACATGGGCTCTATGTTCTTTTTGTCTAGCCAATGTCATAGGTTGCTGCTCATGTGTCACAACCATAATCTACATCTATTGTCGCTCGTTGGAAGCCAAGTCCACAACCGTAGACATTTTTGTTGTGTTGTCCATACATAGAATACATGGCTGGACCTAAAGTCGATGTGAAATTAATATTTTAACCCTTAATTTAACATCAAGAGGACACAAGGTCAAACAAAGGACTGCCATAAACGAAAGACCACAAACGTAATATTTGGTAATAGAGGACTAAATATGGAAAATACATAGTTTTAAAGGACCAATTATAGAATTTACTCCATTTTTATGAAAGTGGAAACTGTTGTGTGGTTGGACTTATCCATAAGAAAGAAATAATACTAACCAAAGGATCTTTTCCTTAAAAAGGAAAGATGAGATAATTCTTGGATGGATGAAGAAAGAAAAAGATGAAGTCGAAAAATGAAGATAGGGAGTGATATAATTCATTTCAAAAAATTACGGAATTTATTTTAGGAGAAATCACATTTGTTTTCAAATAGACAAGGAAAGTACGATGTGTTTACCTTGGTAAGGAATTATTAATTAGAATTATTGAAGTGTGTAACCATTGACAATGGTTAGGGTAATTAAACAAGGCATGAGGTTGTTGCTGGTCACTAGGGACATGGCCCGAGATAGGAATGTTTGGAGGTCAAGGATCAGGGTAGTTGGTTAGTATCCGATCTCTTGTGTTGGGTAGTTTTTCAATCTTGGGTTGGTTCTTTTAGGTGTGCTGTTTTATCTTTCATTTTTTGTTTTTATTTTTTTTATGTTTCATTTGAGCATGGGGTCTTTTTGGAAACAACATCTCTACCTTCCTAGGAGGGGTAAGGTCCGCATACATGTTCCCCATTCGTGGGGGGTTGTAATCATTAATAGAGCAAAAAGAGTTATTTTTATAAGAGTAAATTCCATAATTGGTCCTTTATAACAGGGGGTTTCCCTGTTTAGTCCTCTATTATCAGATATTACACCAGTGGTCCTTCTTTTATGTGTATCTTTCCACAAATAGTCCTTTTTTTGATCTTCTATCATGTTGGGGTTAATTTGAGGGCTAAAAGTGTAATTTCGCAATGATAATATATATTTTTTGTCATACACAATTCCAAAGGCTATTCCGTTTCCATCGTTTGTGAATTACAGTCGCTTTCTACTACAACCATAGTCTACAAATGTGGTCTTTCGTCAGAATCCTAGCCCACAATCATAGTCATTATTTTTATGTTATCCGCTTAACCAATATCAGAATATGTCACTAAACATAATGTTGACGTCAAATTATACTTTTAGCCTTTAAATTAATATCAACATGCCAGAAGATCAAAAAAAGGACCATTTGTGGAAAGGCACCCTTAAAAAAGGACTACGGGGGTAATATTTGATAATAGAGGACTAAATATGGAAACCCCCCTGTTATAAAGGACCAATTATAGAATTTACTCTTTTTATAATGTTTTTAGCTTTGGTTAGTAATAGACTAAATCAAAAGGGCGTATTCCCTTGCCTCTTTCTTTCGATGTAGTTTTGGGTGGTAAATGCATCATTCCATCAAGGGTCCGACAGTAACAACAAACAACTTCTCTATCTTTAAAGGGGTAAGGTTGTGTATGTCTTGACGTAGACTTCAACAAAGTTGGGATTATACTGTGTTTGTTGTTGTTGTTGTTCCACCTTATCTAAAAGCAAAGTGCATGTTTAGGAGAAGGGCTATGTAGGGGAGGGGTTATTTTTTATTTATCCATCAAAACTTCCATAATTTATTATTCTAGTTTGAAAACTTATCAAGCTAAAGCAATACTTTGCTATGTGTTCATTGCCAATGGAGCTAAAAGAGCGAATTCCAACTATATGTTTTAGCTCCGGTAATTAATGCACTAAATCAAAATGAAATATTAAACTTTCCTTGCTTTTTACATCCAGTGAAATTTTGAGCAATAAATGTAGCAATGCATCAATGGTCTAGCAGAAATGACCTCTTTGTATTTAATAGGGGTAAGGTTGCGCACATCTTGACCCCTCCCCCCTCCCCCCTCCCGTTCACCAACAGAGCTGAAGATTATACAGTGGTTGTTGTTTTAAGGAAACACTTTTTTAAAATTAATATAACTCCCCTCCCAAATACACCCAAGTGTTAGTGATGAAACACATTTGTGATTTTTGTTCATCCTCCACACACCTCTTCCACAGGCCAGGCGCTTTTGATTTGCCAAACATTCCAAAAGTTGTTTATATGATTGAAAGTTTGTATCATGTGTGCTGCCACCTTCCATCTGGATTGCATGCACATTTTTATAAATTTTCTCATACATTATCAGTACTTTTTTCTTTTGATGTGAGATTAAGACTTGGTTGTTATTGTTGTTGAAGGGGTCAAGTCTGACTCTGTGCTCATGTAATGGTGAAGATGTTATTGTTTCTTTTGGTGGATATAATGGACGGTATAGTAATGAGGTGAGGGTGAATATCTTTTACCTTTTCCCAAAATTTTATTGTACTGAGTTTCTCATATTCCCTTTACTATTTCAAGGTCAATGTACTCAAACCGAGCCATAAATCGAGCTTGCAAACAAAAATGGAGACTCCAGTGCCTGATAGTGTTTCTGCGGTGCAAAATGTTACAAATGCAACCAGAGATATGGAATCTGAACTTGAAACTGGCCAAGAAGGAAAGAGCAGGGAAATTGTGATAAATAACATTGATTCACAGCCAATGGTATTTTTATTGTCGAAACACTTAATCTCTGCTGTCAATAAAAATTAGCTTTGTTTAAAGTAGTTTTTCTTGATAGTTTCTGCTATCACCTTTGGCCGAGTTCAATTCAGCCTGTATCAGCTCCAATTAGGATTTTGTTATTAATGGTCATCGTAGAGTTTCTACTTACCTCTACTTTTTCCTACTCCCATAACATAGGTTATACAACTTCAGTCTCTTGTTTAAACTATCTCTTTTTACTATCCCCTTAGGACTTGAGATAACTGAACCATGCAGGGCAAAAAGGGTGAGGAGGGCAGCGAAGATCTTTTGTTGTCTCTCAAGCTAGAGAAGGAAGAACTAGAGTCTTCCCTCAACAAAGAGAAACTGCAAACTCTTCAATTCAAGCAAGAGCTGGCAGATGCCGAGACTCGCCACGTTGACCTTTACAAGGTAACTTCTCCCACAATTTAAACTGAATATCTTGGAGGAGCACAACTTTATTTCTGTCTATTATTATAGCTTGTCACAATGAACTAGCAGATTAACAAATCATAAAAACATATGGTTTGTTTCACCTTCTCATGTTGCAGCAGAATCTAGATTTTGTATTCTTATCCAACAGTACTCTTTTCATGATTTATTTATGGGTTGGTCGGAACTACTCCCTCCATCTCAAAAAAAAGAGGCATGCTTCTGATTTCCGAGCTTATGTTTGTCCCAAAAAAGAGTCATATTTGAACAAAAGAAGCTAATTTTGATTTAATATGATGTATTTTTTGGAAATGAGTGCTCCAAACAAGTTAAGTATCTTAAACCTACAAAAATTGTGAAAAGAAAATAATTAAGATTGATAACTTACAAGAGATGTACCTTATCAAAATTCTAAAGTTGTATCTTGATGAATGTACATTTTCCAAAACCTGACGCTGGTCGGGTTCTAAAATTCTCTAGGACCTAGTCTTGGAGCGTGCCTACTCCCGTTTATGGCATCAAATCGAGCTAATATAAATAAAGATGATATTGATGGCACACTACATAAGCTTTAATTTATTTACAGGAGCTGCAATCTGTGCGCGGTCAACTTGCAGCTGAACAGTCTAGATGTTTTAAGCTTGAGGTATAAGCATTTCATTTGTGTTCATCTTATTGTTACACTGTCTCTGTCAAACAACTGCAGGATCAGAATTTAATAGATTAACAACCCTATAGGCCTGCAACTATTTTCTAACACTCATGTTCCATGGCCACTCTCTTTGAGTGTGGCCACGGAGGACATTGTCCCAATTGGGACACCTACAGTGCTCTGTTTGCAAAATTGATATTCCTACCCCTCCTAACCCCCCCCCCCCCGGTAAACCCCCCACGCAGTCCCGCCCCAACCCATCCCCCTACCCACATCATTGCAGGGTGCAAATTTAGTTGACTTTGGGGCTGCATGGAGGGATTTATCGGGAGGGTTAGGGGTATGAACTATCAATTTTGCAAACGGAATACCGTAGGTGTCCAGTGTCCTTGGCCACTCAAACATAGTGGCCATAGAACCGGACCCATTTTCTAATGCTCACAACAAAATTGAACTTCTGAAACAGGTTGACGTAGCGGAGCTACGACAGAAGCTCCAGACAATGGAAACCTTACAAAGGGAACTTGAACTCCTCCAGCGACAGAAAGCAGCTGCTTCAGAGCAGGCTGCCTTGACTGCCAAGCGAAGGCAAAGCTCGGGCAGTGTCTGGGGCTGGCTCGCTGGGACACCTCATGATCAGAAAACCGACGATGATTGATGATCAATGTCTGAATGAACTGGACAGACGGTTATTTTGATTATTTTTTTTTTTGAATATTAAAGAAATTATGTTTCTATTTTTTAAGAAAAGAAAAAAGATGGGACTTTACAGAAACAGAACAAAGAAATGTAATTTGAATTTTATACGAAAACAGTGGAACCATAGTGGACAGTGTGCAAAATTTTTGGGGGTGTTTTAGTTGCAAAATTATGAGTGTGTGCAATAGTTAGTCGTTGAGCTTCACGAACAACTTTGTTGGTGAAATCTTGTGGTATTTCATTTAAACGTTTTATAGCTTTTCAAAAGTTTTGGGTATTTCGATATTTTTCAAAATGTCTATAGAGGCATTATTTAAATCTTCACTAAGAATTTTATCGTGATTTTAAATTTATGGGGATGTATTCACTTTTAACAAGGCTCTTATATTCTTATCCCTTGGAAAGTGGTATCTAAATAGCATGTGTATAGAATGGAAATATCGAATTAGAATAATGTACTCCGTAATAAACAGAAAAAAGCATGGCAGGTATGTATACCGTCTCCCTCCAATATCAATTTTTAAATATTAAAATTTAATAAAAAGTAGCTTTAAGTCCAAACTCGTGAACCGGCCGAATCAACCCAGGTCACCCGGTTTTGGGTGTGGTGGGTTTGGACGGGTCTAGGCGGGTCAACTGAAAAGTGGGTTTACCCATTGAATCGAATCAGATTTGTTTCCAGGTCACAGTCCAACCGGTTGTTTCCAATACACGAGTGTATAGAATGGAAATATCAAATTAGAATGGAAGAGAGATAATGTATTAAATAAGTATGAGAAGTATGTAATTAACGTAGGAAAACTTTTTCTTCTATAGTGTTACAATTTGTTTGATTTTAATTTTGTTTAAAAAACAATATTTTGGTTAGTTTGAATATCAGTTTATAATTTATGTTTGTTTTGTGTTAGATGTGATGTATGGAACATATAAATTGATTTGTCCTGTATATATACTGTATTTGTTGTAAAAAGGGGAGGTAAATGAAAATTAGCAGATTTTGATGTTGCCTATCTCGTTTACGACCGCCAGAGTTGTATTGCAAACTCTGGCCATATTGGTCCATTCTAGATGTGTCTCAAAACATCACCATTTAGAGGGTGTTTGACAGTGCGTTGCTTTTAACAATTTAGTTTTTTCTTTGAGTGGAAGTGATTTTACTTTGTTTGGCATGTCAGCTTCTGCTTTTCACCAACATTATTTTGTACATTGAACACCGTTTCGGAGAAGCATGTATGAGGTGCTTTTGCTTTCAGCTTCTGTAGAAATCACTTTATCCATAAGCTAATCACTCCCAAACACCCTCTTAATCTGTCGTAGATTTGTGTTGGACTTCAAATTCTATTGTAATATAGAAATAACAACCGCAAATGTGTGACAAACATTATCCGTCACAGATTTCGTGACACGGGATACACTGGGATAGGAATGAAAAATCTCGTGCAAATTTTTTGCATTTTTCTGTAGTTATATTTTTCTTTCTTCTTCTAGAAAATATCAATAGCTCTAGTTGGCTGGGTGAATGCCGATCCAAAATCGAGAAACTGGAATGAGGTGGCGGGTAGATCCAAAACCTAGACCTGAAAAAATTTGACCGAAAGAGGTCTAGCCTGGTTTTTCTGGGTCGCATTTGTTTTAATCCAAAAAAATCAATTTCTTTTAGTATTTTAATTTTTTCCCGAATTGTTTTAACTTGATTTTAGACGAATTAACTTGATACAGTCTTGCTTTTATTTTCTTCGTTTTATTGGTCATATTTCAAAAAATAATATTAATATAAAAATGCTTTCACTAATAATGTAATAAGTGTATAATAAATGTTATACGGAGTAGTTACTTTAGTTCTTCAGATTGTCAAAATATTGGTAAAATGGCAAACTAAAATACTTCTTTCTTACCAAGAGTAAGTTGCACCTTAAATAACTAAAATTTCAAGTCCAAACATTATACTTCAAATTTTTTTTTATATAGTTCTAATTTGTTTTTTAGGGTAACTAATATCACACCCGTGCGCTGCACGGATCATAGTTACGGTACTAAATTAATATCATTTTTAGGAATATAAATGGTATATAATGGAATATAGAGATTTCATTATTTTAAAGTACAAAAGTAAAATGATTTACAAATTTCAAAAGACTTCTTTATAAACTACATCACTCGTATAATTTGTGTGAGCATTCACTTCGTTGTATATCAGAATCTCCAAGTCATTGCGATTTATTAATCTTTAAAGTTTAAACTGCAACATACACTTGGCCATAAATACCAGTTTTCGTAACAATAATTCAACATGTTTCAGATATTGTTCCTGACAATAATTCAATAATTTGACTTATCTAAGTAATAATTCAACATATTAATGTTTTTATTTTGGAAGTTGTATTTTTTAATTTTATTTTCATATTTAAGTGGTACCATTAACTTACCCTATGTTATTTATTTTCTATTTTATTTAGATCAATTACCATTTCTTACACGTATCCATGCTTGTAAATTATATTATTAATAGTATAAATTTTAGAATACTTATACCATTATTACATGTTTCCATGCTTATAGTATTAATAGTATTAATTTATAATTTTTTTTATTTTTGCATTTAAATGGTACCATTTACTTAATGTACCATATTTATTTTTAAATTTATTTTATAACACTTACCATTTTTACACGTTACCATGCTCGTAAATTGTGGTATTAATTGATAGTATTAATTTGTAGTTTTCTATTTTATTTTTTATTTAAATGGTATCTTACTTACCGTACCGTATTTATTTTCTAATATATTTTAGAATACTTACCATTTTAATAATTATTTTATTTTCTAATTTATTTAGAACACTTACCTAATTTATTTTAGAACACTTACCATTTATTTAATTTTTGTGTTTAAATGGTACCATTTGCTTATCGTGATTACATACTATACCGTATTTATTTTCTAATTTTCTAATTAGAACACTTACCTTTTTAAAAAAATCATGTTTTTAAATTATAGTATTAATATTAATTTTGCAATTTTTTTATTTTATTTTCGTATTTAAATCGTACTAATTACTTACCAAACCACATTATTTTCTAATTTATTTTAGAACACTTATCATTTTTAGATGTACTCCCTCCGTCCCTAAATAGAATACAATTTTTTTTCTTTCTCCCCTCGATAACTTTTGTTTGTTTACGCGATTTCATTAAGTATTTGATAAAATAAAATATTCTTGTTTTGTAGAACTTTTGACGTAGTTTTTTAATATGTAATTTTTATATCTTATTGATATACCAATTTGTAAGTAAAATGATTTCAAAAAGTAGGAAATTTTACTCTGTAACCCGCAATTTGTAATCAAATTAGGGACGAAGAGAGTATTTTATTTTCTCTTTTATTTTAGAACACTTACCTAATTTATTTTAGAAAATATACCATTTATTTTATTTTCATTTTTAAATGGTGCAATTGCTTCCCGTACCATACCTATTTATTTTCTAATTTTTTAATTAGAACATTTGTCATTTTTAAAACGTTTCCATTCTTATAAATTATAGTATTAATATTAATTTGTAGTTTTTTATTTTATTCTTTTATTTAAATGTTATCATTTACTTACCGTACCATATTTATTTTCTAATCTATTTTAGAAAACTTACCATTTTTACACGTCCGTGCTTGTAAATTATAATATTTTTTTATAATAAATAATTAATTTGTAGTTTGTTTGAAATAAATAATTTTAATCCGGCCCGCACTTTATTAATTTGTAATTTTTAAATTTTATTTTAATATTTAAATGGTAGTGTACTTTATTTCCATACTTCAATTCCCCAATAGTTCACTACTATTTAACTTAATTTAATTTAATTTAATTTAATTTAATTTAATTTAATTTAAATGCTTAAATGGTGTAACATTTAAATAAAAATGAAAACATACTTAAAATGGAAGGAAAACATTAAGGCAAAATAATAAAACTACCATTTATGTTGTCAACACTTTTCATATATAAGTCTCATGCATGGGTGGGAAAATATTCACGTCTTTTTAAATAAAGTATAGACTATGATCAAATACCAAGGGTATGTTTGGTTGGAATGCAGGGGAGGGGAAGGAATTGTAGGAGTTAATGGGAAGGGAAGGATTCTCTTCACCTTGCATGGTTGGGAGGGGAAGGAAATATATTATTTTTAATATTTTATTTATATCTTTCATTTTTAAACTTGTTCTTTATGTATTTTCAAATAATTATCAGTATTTTTATGATTTCATTTTATTTTTTATAATTTTAATTTTTTTATCATTTTTATTATTTATCCTACATTTTAATTTTATATATTTTTATGTTTACTTTTTTATTTTTATTTATTATTTATTTATTTTATTAGTATATATTTTTGGTTATTATTAATTTTCTGTTGTAATATAATAATTTATTTTATTTTTTAATTATTTATTTAATTGCTTTGGCATTACTTATTAATTATTACTACTATCTACTTATTTAATTTAATTTTATTTTTTTATTCTATATTATTTTTTTTACAAGATGAAAAAAATTAACATAAGAAGAAGAACATGACAGAAGAAAAGGAGATTCTGTTTGATTTGGAAGGATTGATTTGGAAGGGAGGGGAGGGAATTGAAGCTAAAATTTTAGATCCATTCCCCTCCATATTTTTAAACTAAACAAGGGGAGAGATTCATATTTCTTTCCCCTCTCCTTTCCTCCAACCAAACAAACCCTAAATGATGAATTAATTTTTTGGTCAATTTTTTACACAATTTAACCATTTGTAAATATAATTGTTGGCAACGATCTTTTGACCCATGAACCTAAGGTTATACTATGAATAAAGCACCTACATTGCTCAAAATTAATGATTCTTACCCTCTTAAATCTCCCTGCTCCCTTACAGACCACTATAATGTCCTTCACCCCTAAACTGTTGATTTGGTCGGGTCAAATCAGCGATCTAGGGGTGCAGGGACTGGGGTGAGATGCAGGTGGCATGATGGTTTAGGAGAGTTAGGAGAGGTAGCATGGGCGGATCTACTTAGAAGTAATTGGGGGCCAATGCCCTCTACTAAATTTTGGTATTAAATCATTTTTTGTGTTTTGAAAATAAAAATCTATACTTTTAGACTCCATGCCCCCCAGGCCCCATGTGATTTGGGGTTGACAACATCTAAAATTATATACTCCAAACAAAAACTAATAAAATCTTATGTAATAATTAAATTTGTTTTTAATTTTTTATTTAATTTTATTGAAGTGTGTTTTATTAAATATAATTTATTGTTTATAATAAGATTTTATATTACATACTAAACAATATTTTACATTCAATAAATGTTTAAAATAGAATTAACTATTTTTTTGTTATTTCATATTGTCTATTTAAAAAAACCCCAAGGGTGCTGTCCCGAGATCCGCGACCAATTATGCCCCCATCTACCCGAATTTTTGGATCCGCCATTGAGAGGTAGGAACCATCAATTCTATCAACAGAGCATCGTAGGTACTTCGAACCATAATGTGATCTTGGTTTTCAAGGTCAAAAGAACCATTGGGTATATATATATATATATATATATATATATATATATATATATATATATATATATATATATATCAACACGAATTTTTGAAATAAACGTAATTATATTAAATTTATATTATAACTATATGTATGTTTTTTTACAATTTGTAGTCAAAGTATATTGAAAATTAACCAAAATGGTCAAAATGTGAAAACTTGGTCCAAAGAGAGCCAAGGGCTGATCCAAACCCATGAAATAATTTAAAAAAAATTACGTTAGACAAATTCTTACTTAGTCCTAATGCTCATGTCATTTTATGAATTTTAGTTTATTGATATCATAAAAGAATTGAGTTTTTTTGCAAAATAAAAAGATTCACTCGCCAATTCATAAGAAGTATGAAAAAGTCTATGGGCCTGTTTGGGAATAGCGTTAGCGTTTTGGATAAAATTTTAACGGTGAAGATTAATTTGAAAACGCTAACGCTAAACGCTGCCCGTAGATAGCCTTTTGAAAACGCTAACGCTAATTTCTAACGCTATTCCCAAACAGGCCATATATTTGACATACTCCCTCCGTCCCCAATTTGATTACAAATTGCGAGTTACGGAGTAAAATTTCTTACTTTTTGAAATCATTTTATTTACAAATTGGTATATCGATAAGATATAAAAATTACATATTAAAAAAACTACGTCAAATGTTCTACAAAACAAGAGGAGACAAGAATATTTTATTTTATCAAATACTTAATGAAATCGCGTAAACAAACAAAAGTTATCGAGAGGAGAAAAAAAAAACTGTAATCTATTTAGGGACGGAGGGAGTATGTAACTTTAGATCACACGAGAACAACTTTTTTTTGTTAATAAAGTGTATTTTGCCCTGTAAAATTAGTCATAATCTTATCCCAAAGTTGTAGACTTTCAACCACTGGGCCTCGGCGATTAGCCTTTCACAAAAAAATAAAAAATAAAAAAACAGAAGAAAAAAAAGACAACGAATCTCCTCTCTTTCTCCCCCCATTCTCTTCTTAGGGTTTCACAAGAACAGTGGTGCACTGGGGGGTTGATTACAGTTCCCAGAAAGCTTCAACGTTAATCCTGGCTTCTTCGCGCATTTTTCCGGAAAAGCTCACCATAGCCCCTCCATTTCCAGACAAGAAAACTCGTATTCTGGTCAGGTCCGCGCTCTGTATCGGCCGCTGCTCGGGGATATTCGTGAGATGTTATCAGTGATGAGCAGCAAAGGTTTCGATTCAGATCGCAGAAACGACGCGGATCATGTTACGGATCTTAGGGCATCAATTGCCTCCAGCTCCGGTGCTGGAAATGGAGCGGTTGTCTCAATCTCGACAGGTTCCGGTGAACCTCAGGGTTTTGAGGACGCCGTAAATGGTGGCAGTAGGAGTGCTTGTTCAGTTGGTGGTAATTTACCAGAAGCTAGGGCTCCACCTGCAGATTCGAAGGAGAGTAGTCATCATCAGTTTGTTTCAATGAAATGTGAAGGTAGATTGAATGCTGAGAGGAAGAATATGGGCTCTGTAGCTGCATCTAAATCCAGTAACTTGGAATATGACATGATGCTTTCCAAGTTTGATGATTTTGCTGCCAAGGGTAAGCCTTGGGCTGTTGGTTGGGGTTATGAAATGGGAGATATGGTCTGGGGAAAGGTGAAGTCTCATCCATGGTGGCCAGGCCACATTTTCCACGAGGCTTTTGCAACTACTTCAGTTCGGCGAAGCAAGAGGGATGGCCATATATTAGTTGCCTTCTTTGGTGATAGTAGCTATGGTTGGTTTGAACCGTCTGAGCTTGTACCCTTTGACTCTAATTTTCACGACAAATCTCAACAAACAAATTTGAGGTCTTTTACCAAGGCCGTAGAAGAAGCCGTTGAGGAATTGAGCCGTAGGTGTGCTCTAGGTTTGATTTGTCGATGTAGGAGTGTGGACAATTTCCATCCTTCATCTGCTGAAGGTTTCTTTGAAGTTGATTTAAATGAAAATGAGAGTAATTTTATTTATTCTGCTAGCCAGATAAAAAAAGCCAGAGAGAGTTTTCATCCCAGAGAAACTCTTGCTTTTGCCAGGAAATTGGCATTGACACCTATGAGCGGAGACTCGGGTAATATAACATTTATAAAGAACAAAGCTATTGCTTTAGCCTATAGAAAGGCAGTGTTTGCACCTCATGACCCTACATATGCTGAAGCTTTCGGTGCTCATGTAACTAAAAACCTTCAACTGATGCAGCCTGTATCTCAACCATCAAGAGTGCAAGTGGGAGGTAACAATTATCTCCTGAGTGTTATTTATATTATTTTGAAGACTTATTAGGCAAAGTGTTGTGATATCCATACGTTAATGCTTGATTCATTAGGGACTCATTTTCCTAATCTGCAGCTTTTTTGCTCTTTTGTTCAGAGAGTCATTCATCAGAAATTCACTAATCTATGGCACATTTCCACCAATAATAACAATATAGTTTTTGATACTGATCTTATCTTTCTGAAATCATCGTCGAGGATGTTATGGGGAAAAATGTTAATAAGGCCCAAGATTTTGTTTTCTGTTTGGAAATTTTTTCTGGCAAGTTTTGGGTGCAACCTGGTGTTGTACGCCTAGTTGTTATTTCTTATAATTATCCTACCATATTCCATACTAATATTTCATAATGAGAATATATAAGCTATCATAAAGTTAAAAATGATTCACCTACTCATAGAGAATGATAAAAATGTTTCATAATGTTACTAGTGTTTCATTACAATCACATTAATACTTCAAATGATGCAGTCGGGTGTAGTACACTCAGTTGCAAAACATATTTGTTGATTTTTTCCATGCATTCAGATGCAATGGCATCTATTACTCCGTATGACTATGTGCAAAAAATGCAGTAGCTCTTTAGCAAAAGTAATTCATTTATGGCTCTAAATGAAATGTCACATATGTGTAACCCTTGACTTGTGTATGCCATATGTTTTTTTTACATTTTAAGCTTCAAGTAATTTTTACTGCTAAAATATTCCTCAAATGGTTAAAATGTGACAGTATTGTAAAATTTCTCTCTTTCTCTCTCTCTATGTATAGTTTTTCACACCACTTGTGGGTATTAGTGGGTGGTGTGATATAGAATGATACACCATTGCTACCATGCAGACGTTTTTTTCTTCACCTATATTTTTGTGTGTGATCTATGTCTTATATGATCCTAAAGTTATTCGATAACTTCCAAAATTCTGCATTGTTAAGGGATTGTGGCTGTACAATCATGGAAATTGAATCAGATTTTTTTGGTGATTAATGATTGGCTGGGGAAAAAAGCAGAATCACAAAATATTGCTCATGAAGAGATATAACACATTCATTTCTATGTCTACACTCGTATTGCAAATGAAACAGCATTATATGTGCCTGATGCAGTAACATTGAAAAGTCATGAAGTGTAAAATGTTTTGCCAAGCTTTCATGCCATATTAATTGCTTATGGAAAACGATGTAAATAATTATTAATTATTCGGCTCTGAATCAGTTTTCCCTGAATTATAATGTGATGCATGGATACACCACTATTGAAGACAAAGGGAGAATTGGTTGCATTGGTTTAGGCATGTCAGTGAGTGCCCTAGTGCAGAGATTAGAGCTTTGAATTGTCGGAGACTTGAAGAGGATACATGGTAGATCGAAAATGACTTGGATAAAGTTTAAAGAGAAAAGAATGGAAAAAAAGGATCACATTGTAGTCATTGAACATCATCGGGAGTTTTTTATTGGTTCAGTTTCTTGATCCCATTGAATCGGTATTAAGTCATGGCTACTGTTGTAATGCCACAAGAGAAATCATATTTCATTGAAAGAAATGAAAATAAGCCATATTTGTGTCGGAATTTGGGTTTGCTCCAACTAATGTGTGAAACAATTTAGGTGTTGAATTTAGAACCATTTGTATATTTGTATATGTAGATGGTTGGTTGCATGTGGATCACACTCAAGTTAGATGTAAGATAATTATGATGGATGTAAATGCAAAAAAGTTCACTTGCTGGAATAAAATCAATTGAAAACACTTACATACAATGCATATACACTGAAATTATTATAAGCACTGTAATTAAAAAAATTAACCATTCTGCTTGTGGTTACTGATATTAATGTTGATAAGTGTGGAGCTAAATAAATGAGAGCTCCAGTCGTAAAGTTTATTTTTTAATAGATGACAAATGTGATTGACTGACTTGTGCTCCATGTTGAAGTTAATGATGTGTATTGTTAAGTTATGCATATGGTTTCCCCTTATGACTTGTCTATGTATTTTAAGAAACTGCCATAAGTTTTTGTCCCGTCAATTAGTGCTAAACATTTCAATATGGAATTCGTATTTTTTGTATTTGCCCACTTATTCCTACTCCATGACTTTTACAGCGTCCGTTGGTGGTAGACTAGTTTCTTTCGAGGCTGTGGGTAAAGGAAAACCTTCACTAAAACATTCCAAAGCTACAGATAAGACAGAGAAGGACAGGTATCTCTTCAAGCGCAGAGATGAACCCGAGAACGTGAAAAGCCACAAAGCTGGCGAGGTGCAAGCTATTGGTGCCTCTAAACAGCTGCCTGTTCTTGTAGACAGTCACAGCATAGCTGAGAATAATGCATCATGCACTTCTGTTGAACCACGTCTAGAGCAACCTCGCAATCAAAATGCTGCTGCTGCTGCTACAGTGGAATCACACAGAAGTGGGTTGCAAGCTCAAGATTGTGTTGGTGAAGTGCATCATATTTCACTTCTCGCAGAAGCAAAGCCCCAGCCTGAAGGATCTAAAGCACCTTCTCTTGGCAGTATGGAAAAGGCAAAAAGCCGTAAACGCCCTTTTGAAACCAGTCGGCTGCTGGAGGAGGATAAGAAGAAAAAGAAGAAAGTTCCAGGCATGAACACTGGCTTCTCTAATTTCCCCGAGAAGCAAATTGTGTCTGGTGGTGTGGATAGGGTTGAGAATCAGAGTTTATTAGGAGGAGATTCAGGTCCTGTTGGGGAGGAAGCAGTCACTGAGATGGATCATAAGCGAAACGAGCACGGGGCAGTTTCTCATCAAGCTGCAGAGATAAGAAAAGGCATTGAACTCCCTCAACTGCTATGCGAATTGCAATGTCTTGCTCTGAATCCATTCTATGCCCTGGGCAGGGATTGTTCTACAACCACAAGAACTGCCTTTTTGCGCTTTCGGTCCCTTGTTTATCAGAAGAGCTTGGAAAATGAGTCACCAACTGAGAACGAATCAGTCAACGAAGCCCATTCCAGTAGATTAGATGGTGCACCGACTAAGCCGAAGAAGCCTTCTGTGAGGGTCGATGACCCCTCAAGGGTTGCGCGGAAGCGTGCCCCATCAGATAGGCAGGAGGAGATATCTGTCAAAAAGAAGAAGAAAATGAACGATTTGAAGATGATGACGGGAGAGAGAAGGGATCCCCAGAGGAGTTCTGAAGTGCCACTAAAGAAAGTAGTAGCCAAGCCGCCAGAGTTGAGCAAGAAGATGATGATGACTGAACAACAGTCGCCAGCAAAGGTGTCATCCGCACCAACCATGCTCCTCATTAAATTCCCTCCCAGAGGGGCACTTCCTTCGCTTCCCGAGCTCAAAGTGAAATTCTCTCGCTTTGGGCCCCTCGACCTTTCCGCCACTCGGATCTTCTGGAAGTCCTCAACATGCCGGCTCGTGTACCGCTACAAGCATCACGCGGAGGCCGCACTCAAGTACGCGGAGAGTTCCACCCAACTCTTCGGCAACACTGATGTCAAATGCTCCATCCGTGAAGCCGATGCACCACCCGAAACAACCGCCACCGCTAGTGGTTCCGTCAAGGGAGCGTGGGGCCCTCCACAAAGGGAAGGAGACCTCTCCGCCTCCGGAGGGGAAGGCTCCTGCCAGTCCAACAAAGATTCTGCATCTGCCAGATTGCTCCAGCAGCAGCAGCTAAAGTCTTGCCTGAAAAGGGCACCGCCGAGTGAAGAGGCGGTCAACGGCAATGGTAGCAATAGGAGCACCACCCGTGTAAAATTTGATTTGGGTGGGGGAGAAGATAGTAATAGAGGCGAGCTGTCGAATGATGTTAGTAAGAACCACCCCAAAACAACTGCTTTTACTTCACTATCTTCTGATACTTCTTCTACTACTACTACTACTACTAATGTCAACAAAAATATTTCAAAGGGCATTCTCCCCACTCCGCCGCAGTTTCCCCCGGTGCTTCTTCCTCCTCCACCGGCACTGCTTTTTCACGACCACTTCACCGACGCCACCACCCCTCACAGAAACGTGCATAATTTTGATCCCCCACATGCCACCCCAAATATAGACATTTCCCAACAGATGCTAAGCCTTCTCTTGAAGTGCCATGAAGTTGTGGCCAATTTGACCAACCTACTGGGCTACACCCCTTACTGTCCCTTGTGAGATGATATGATCTAGGATAGGAGAGGGGTCATAAATAAGTGTCCTTGGCCCAAACAAGACAAGAAAAATGGAAAAATCCCCTTTGTGGAGATTTGATTTGATGCCCATTTTGGTCCGGAGACATGTGCCGCGGGCTTTCGGTCTGCCTGCTTGATGTGAATAGAAGACGTGTGTTCACGCCGATCTGCGCTTCGCCGGTCTTATATCTATGAAATGTTTTTTGTATTTTGGGAATGCTTTCATGAACTTGATTGTATTGATGGTGATAGTGATAATGCCCTCATTGCTTGTTTGCTCTTTTTTTATTGTCAACATGTAGCTTTTGATATTTGTTCCATGCTCTTTTTGGCGTCACAAAGCGAAATTTTACCATAAACGAGTTTTCAATGCACCGTTGTGCACACAGAAAGAATTGCCAATTCTCATAAGGGCTTTGAAAGCGTAAAGATTCATTGGTTTTGGGACAATGCACACTTCTTTCTCAAAATTATGGTTAGACTTTTTATCGTTAAATTCTTAGGTTGTGGAGTCTCATTAATATTTTGATGTAATGTCATACTACCTTTGTCTCTAAATGAATTACATAGAGGAAGTTACGAGACAAAATCTTGTATTTTTTGAAATCATTTCATTCAGAAACTAGTGCAAAAATAGAAAGTAAATTTTCATATTTTAATTAAAAATTCTACGTGATAAAAATATTTTATTTTATGAAATAATCAATATGATGGATCTCAAGATCCAATCAAGAAAATAAGAATAAGAAAATAATCTTATACTCCGTAATATGTTGTGTATTCAATGAATTTTTGGTCTTCTTTCCCCTAACACGAAAGGTCTATTTATACATCTTATGGAGAGATAAATTAGGCATCCAAATCCTAGAAGGAATTGCGTCTCTCCTAGTCTTGCGCCCCAAGGCGTTCGTCTCCTATTACTCGGGCCATTCTTGTTTCATTCCTGCATCTTATTGGGATATCGCAGCCTTTCAGGTATGGGCTAATAAGCCCACTCAAATAATTATTTCATAGACCCGAATCACAATAAATACATATAAATAAATTAGAGTTATTGTGATGGTGGGATAGTAAATAGTACTCCCTCCGTCCCAAATTATAATGCTTGTTTACTATTCACAGGGTCAAACTTTATTCACTTTCTTTCTCTATTTTTGTTAGCAATTTGATAAAATAAAATATTATTGTCACTACTAGTTTTGTAGATCTTTTGATGTAGTTTTTTAATATGTAATTTTTATTTTTTAATTCTATACATTTGTCATATAAAATGGTTTGAAAATAATTTCAGTCAAACATCGTAAACCGAAACAGACGTTATAAAATGGGACGGAGGTAGTACTATGATTTATTTTGAAAGAGAAGTATATTATTGTTAGCACGACTCTATTTTTATTCTCTGGATTACTATATGTTATAGTATGTACACTCTACAATTATAAATACTTCAAATTAAATCATCAATGTATAAATTGATGTGGAATGTGGAGGTTACAAGAGTGATATAACCTTTCTCTCTTATTTTTCACTTAGCTCCTAGCGACATAGCATCCATTCTTTCATATTTTTGTTAACAAAATTGATTGATAAATTTTAACTAGCTAGTAGAGATAATGATTCATGACTAATCCATCTTATAATTATCTTTTGGACTTGACAGCACACGTTTACGGAGTAATATTCATGGATTAGCAAATCAATCATAACTTCACGAGCTTCAAGCATATCTTCACAAGTGATCTCAAGTTTATGTCATATTTGTTTGACTGTTTGGCAATGTGATATTTTTTTATAATCATCAAGATTAACTGCACATTAAATTAAGTTGATGATGACTTTTACATTTTACTAAACCTTCATTTTGCTTTATCATATTCATCCTCAGGTGTACAATGTTTTCATCTCTGACCTTTTTTGTAGTTAAACGTCCTCCATTCTTGTTAACTAGCCATAATCTAAAATCATTAGATTGAACAAATAGACTTCCTTTCCAACATGAATATTTTACTAAATCGAATGCTGGTGACCTCGTTGTTGATTGTCATTCAAGAATACCTACGTATAATATTCTCAAAGCACGAATCGTTTTTCTCAAATAATTATACGTATGAAGATTGAAGAGATACAAGGTCTGATACCAATTGTTAGAAAATGTGCTCAACTCTATGGGGTGAGTATAATTGTGTCTATATCGTGTCGAGTTTTGGCAAGTGTGTATATAAAAATAAGCATGCATTAGATACAATATAGTAAAGAGACAACACAAAACACACTGATAAATCTGACTTGACCATACATGTGGCTAGTCCAGTCCTCAAATGATTTACTCAAAGATTCCACCACCTATCAAGGTTAATGAGTTTGTTGTCCAGAGATTGTAACGCCCTCATCTGTTCAGGTCCACAACATTTTCGAGACAGTTTGTGATTTTTGTTAGCAATAAAATAGTTTTAAAAATAAGAAAATATTTATTTAATCAAGTTTTAATATAATATAATTCTTTAGCTATATTTGAACCACTAGTTCGACTAGTGAACTAATGAATCAGTGTCTTAATTGGTTTGATCATGACCAAGTTGGGAAAAGTATGGAGTAAACCAATCCTTTTACATGTTTAGTTCGGAATAAGTATGCTAGTCAGGACTCTCCATATTACAAAGGGATATGATGATTTTATTCGGAGTCCCAAATGAAATTAGCACGGAATCATCAAACATCCAACTCCTAACGTCAAGCTTTATTTTGCCTCTTGCCTCCGCCACCGCACAGTTGACCCCTCCTCCTTTTCTTCCGCCGTGCTCCGTCGCTCGATGACCTCCACGCTGCCGTCTTCCCCCACCTGGCCTCTCCTTAACCGTTCCGATCCCCGCCTCGCTCCTCCTCCATTCATGGCCGACGGCTCTCCTCCCCCTCACAGTCCCGACGCAGATCATCACTCCCCGCTCTCCGACCTCTCCGCTCTCTCATCCGCCGTCATTTCTGCAGACTCTGACGAAGATCCCCGCCGCCCCCTGACATCTTCTCCTCTAGACGCTGCGATTACACCGAATCTTAACTATAACACTTCTTCTCAACCTGTTGATTCCTTTACACCATCCCTCCTCCACCTATCATTCAACCAGGACCACGCCTGCTTTGCTGCCGGAACCGATTGTGGTTTCCGAATCTATAACTGCGATCCTTTTCGAGAGATTTTCCGCAGGGACTTCTCCAACAGTGGCGGGCGCGGTGGGATTGGTGCGGTTCAGATGCTCTTTCGGTGTAACATCCTGGCCCTGGTTGGTGGAGGTCCCGGGCCGCAGTATCCCTTGAATAAAGTTATGATCTGGGATGATCATCAGTCTAGGTGCATCGGTGAGCTGTCGTTTCGCTCTGAAGTGAAATCTGTCAGGCTTCGGAGGGACAGGATTGTAGTTGTTCTGGCTCAGAAGATATTAGTTTACAATTTCACGGATTTGAAGCTGTTGCATCAGATAGAAACTGTGGCAAACCCCAAGGGATTGTGTGAGATCTCCCATGTGTTTGGGTCTATAGTATTGGTTTGCCCTGGGTTGCAGAAGGGACAAGTGAGGATTGAGCACTATGCTTCCAAGAAAACAAAGTTTATTATGGCACACACCTCGAGGATCTCATGCTTTGCACTCACAAACGATGGGAAGTTGCTGGCAACTGCAAGCAGTAAAGGGACTCTTGTTAGAGTGTACAATACTTACGAAGGATCAATGGTGCAAGAGGTACTTAATGTTTACAGTTTATTGTGAGTCATAATGCATGAAAGTTTTAAGGTTGAGGTACTTTTCTTGTAGCTGTTCGTACCTTTGAAATATCAGCATTCTGTATGTTTGCAATATGCGTTTGGGATAGAGAGTGCTTCCAAAAGGGGAAAAACATAAGTGTTTTATGCAATAAAAAGAAATAAAAATGCTAATACTCTATGACTGAAAGTTAGAGCATCTTCAACAATGTTGCTTCAGCTTGAAGGGGTTGACTGAAGTAGAATCGTAGCTATAGAGAGTTTTCAAGCTCAAGAACTTGCTACAGATTTATGTTTTTTGTTTGAGGACAAATTCTTTCATTGAAATCTTATATTCCACTCATAGAAATCTGGAAGCCAATATGTGCCTCCCTTAGCAAAACCTTTTCCCTTAAACCTCTAATATTGGTATCTGATCACCCGGGGAAAGTTATTCATTGTTTGATGTGCTCTACCAATGTTCCTTTTTTGCTGATTTTAATGGTGCATTAGAACTTGGACCTGTAATTGCTCGGTCCTTCAGGATCTTGAACTTGGATATATAAATATTTTCAATGCCAAATATTATGCTAGTATTGTGATCGATGTGTTATTGTCCTATGCACTTGCACTCTTGGATTATAGACAGGGGTGTGACAATTTTGTGCTGGACTGCAAGTGCTGTTATTATCTAGCATACTGGATTTTTCTTAGTCATATCCTTTGAACATTATTTATTTCTAACTAAAAATAGGAGTTTGATATGTATTATGTATATAAAAACTTATGTGCTCTCTAAGTTCAAGGATAAGGAACATAGGCCAGCTTTTAATATTTGAAATGTGGCTCGTTGTATGCACTTTCTAAGACTATCCTTATTATATTATTTTAATGTAGGTTAGAAGAGGTGCAGACAGAGCTGAGATATACAGCCTTGCTTTTAATTCAACTGCTCAATGGCTAGCTGTCTCTAGTGATAAAGGAACTGTTCATGTTTTTGGTTTAAAAACTGATTCACGACCAATAACAGTTGAGAGATCTCATGATCCCACTAATGTAACTACTTCATCAGCTGCTTCAAATTTCTCCTTCATTAGAGGTAATGATAATGCATGCATAAACAACAACAACAACAACATTACCCCAGTGCCTCAAAGGCTCCCACCCTTTGCGAGGTGTGGGGGGGTCGGATGTCCACAGCCTGGCCCCTACGTTTAAAACATAGATCGGCTGTTTCTAGATGACCGATTATGAGCACTTTACTATTGAAAGAGGCACAGAGAGTTTAAAGAGTCGTTTTGCTTTCTTCCATCATACCCCAAAGCCAAAAAATAGTTAATATTTGGCTCTATCACAGATGATGGAAGCTAATGATAATGCATGCACAATTTACTCTTTTCTTAAATGTAAATCTACAATGACATAGCAAATTAGGCTCTACTGATTGACATTTTTATGAGTGACATCTTTATGGATTATGTTATTTTGTTTAGTTTATTGTCCCAACTCCCAAGTACATAATTAATACTGTTAGTAAAACGTGTTTGACCTTAAAAAGTTAAATAACGTTCATTCCTTTAATGTCTTATACTCAAGTGTTTCATCAAAATATTTAATGCAGGAGTGCTACCAAAATATTTCAGCTCTGAGTGGTCTGTGGCCCAATTCCGCTTGCAAGAAGGTTTGCAACATATTGTTGCCTTCGGACACCAAAAGAATACGATTGTCATACTAGGCATGGATGGCAGGTATGCTTACATACATTCTCGCGTGAAGCCATATACAAATACTCTTTACATCCCATAAAAAAGAGTCCAATTTCACAAATGTTCATCTTTTAAATATTAGTAAGTGGTGCCGTGATGGATTAAAAAAACGAAAAACAAAAATTTCTGTTCAAAAAATAAAATAAAATAGTGACGGATCCTGGATCCGGGGGGTAGTATTGGAATAAGGAGATGAAGCAATGGAAGAGTAAAACCTTTTATTAGAGTTTCAGAATTGTTGCATATTTTTACAAATCCCATATCTGTACAGGCTAATAAACCTAGATATGTCATCATTGTGACCTCTAGGGGTGCTGGGCCAACCCCAACACAGGTGGCCTAACTGGGGTTTTAGGAGACTAAGGCCTATTTTGTTCAAATAGTACACTTTCTTTGGGACAAAATATAAGTTTTTGAGTATGGATATTTCTTAGGGATGGATGGCGTTTAGTTTTTATTTATGAAACAAGAACAACAACATACTTTACATGATAAATATACTGCATGATCCACTTTCCTTTTTGCATACCTCTCTGTTCTTGCAGAAATAAATGTAAAATGTCTTTGGTTTTTAACTTTAAAGATCAAAAGGAAAGTGCACTTTTTGTCCATTCGCTTATCCAACGTTCTTCAATGTGGTCGTTTTGGTTTTATTTTATGATATTCAAACTGTCAATAAATCAAGCTGTAATCTGATCCCTCCTCTAAACTTGCAAGATACTCTGTTCTCAAATGGAGTTAATATGATGCTAAGAGGTCAAGTACCAAAAGTGTCACATTCCCAAAATCAAATACTCTGTTGTGGTTAGTGAGATTGGACACGAGTGGGGTTTAAACAAAGCACCTTGACGGTAGCGGCCCATGTTCCTATTCATATGAAATATAAATAACAACAAAAACAACAACAACAATAATGATAATAATAATAATGACAGTACTATTAAGGTAGAATGAACAATATGAGTGTTTCCTAGGAGCTTCCTCTACAAACTTGCAATGCATGACATTTGTTCCCATGAGTTTGCAGTTTCTATAGATGCCAATTCAATCCAAGCGAAGGCGGGGAGATGAGCCTTTTGGAACACCATAATTTCTTGAAGCCCGAGGACAGCTTCTAACTAGTAAAACTTGTGTATGATCTATCTACCTATGTACAATTTCTAGTGTTGTCTTTTCGTTACATCGCGAACGAACTATAACATGTGTGCCTGGTGGTTAGTCACACAAATACCCCCNNNCCCCCCCCCCCCCCCCCCCCAATGCATTTCTAGTCTGTACATACATAAAATATATGTGCATAATGTAATCCTGTGTTATTCGATTTCATGTCAAGTGCTCAGTTATAATCTTGGAAGCAGAATATATTGACACATAAAATCCCAAACCATCAGCATTGAATGTTTTAATAGCATTGACACCAATAAATGAAGAAAACCATTATAAATGAAGCTCATAAGTTTGGCTTTCCGAACTTCGGTTTCTACTACTAGCATATAAACAAGTAAAATTTGCACTAAATAGGACTAAAACATAATGACTTTTCCAATATAGCACTTAAACTTTTTCATTCCCTAAATAGGACTTAATAATGACCTCGTGGGAGGAATAATGTCCAATAATGATGGATATTTACTTGAATAATGACTACTTGATAATGACCAAAAGTCCTACATTGGAAAATAAAAACATATGGTCCTATATTCGAAAAGTCATTATGTTTTAGTCCTATTTAAGTAAATTTCTCAACCTGTCTAATTTTAGTAAACGAGTAACGAAAATGAATAAAGAAAGTAGTTAAAGTTTAATCATTTGAATTGTAAACAAATAATTTAAATTGGGACAAAAAAAATAATATTGCACTCTTTGATATGTGAATAGTAATATTATGTGATATTGAGAGAATATCATGTTAGTGTCCATAAAAGTCATAGGCTTTTGGTTTGACTAAATCTGGTACCCAAAATCTTGTTGTGTACATTTTCGGGTAGAAAAGAAACTTGGATTGATCACTATATTTACATTTTGATACGTTTGTTAACTTTTACACTGTTCATTTCCATGAGTTCCATCTGAGCTTTTTTTTCTGAAAGAAAATATAAACCACTAAATTTGAAATGGGTCGACAAATGTCCAAGAGCCCTTGGATTTATCATTTGTATCACTATATCCAGATTCATTTGGAACTTGTTCTAATTCCAATTTAAGCGATTGAAAAGGTTTTTATTTCGTAGACTTTTACTTTCTTAATGCTCTTGTATAGGGGTGGCAATCGAGTCAACTAGATCGGTTCCGAATTGGATTTTTTCAGTTCGGATATCTTTCGAATATATGTTGTAATCGGTTTGGTTTCAATCAGTTTAATTTCGGTTTGGTTTCAATCAGATATGGTTTGGATCTATACATTTTCGGTTTCGGTTCGGTTTCGAGTCGATTCAGATATGGTTCAGATTTAAATCGGTCAGGATAGATTCCGGTTCAAATAGAATTTAGATCGGATATATTTTGGTTTCGGATCTAGTTCCATTCAGATATATTTTGGTTTCTGATATGTTTCAATTCGAATATATTTTGATTGAATATATTTTGGATATATATTATTTTTAATTAAAATTTAATAATCCATGTTTCTTTTTTTGTTTTATCAGATTTATCAATTTATCATCAATTCAACACCTCATATTATTTTATATTTTCTAATTATGCTATCTCCATCGTAAATATTCTTTCTTTTTTGGTTTTTTAGTCATATTCTACAAATTTGGACTACAAATTATGAAAAAAATATATTTAATTATGATATAAAATTTATATAATTAAATTGATTTTAAAATTTAATTTTGACATATCAAATTTTTATCACATGTTTATAAATGCAAAGATAAAAGATAAGTTTAAATAGTTTTACACTCCAATTAAATATAATATGATAAAAATTGAGTAAAATTAGATGAAATTAATCGGATTTTATCGGTTTAGTTCTAATCGATTTTGAATCTAATCAGTTTTGGGTTTAATCAGTTCGGATATGATCGATTTCGGATCTAATCAGTTTCGGAAATGAATTATATAGTTCAGTTTCAGTTTGGTTTCAGTTCGCTTCGGATCATTTTGGGTTTTCGATTATAGATCGGATCTTCATTTTTTGGATCATTTCAGTTTCAATTTTGGATAATCGGTTCCGGTTCTATTTTGCCAGGTCTACTCGTGTATATATATATTCAATGTTTAGGTACAAAAAAAAATTACTCAGTATTTATTTTTGTACGTCTCACATATACTCGATGTTTTGGTTCAAAAAAAAGTATTTATGTTTTCTTCAATTATAAGTATTCTGAAACAACTTTTTTTAAAGGGCCTAAGTATCACACGTACTCCTACGTCTCATAAAAAGGTTCAACATTGCCGTTTTTGTTTGTCCTCAGAAAATTCTATTTTCCATCTTTAGAAAAAATTATGGCCCTCTAACTTTTTTCTCCTCTGCATTACTTTCAAACACATAATTTCATTTTTTTTATCTTTGTTCCAATTCAGATGGAGTACATATTTTAGGTTAATTATAAATTTCAACTATCAAATGAAATACTTAGAAGTGTAAAAATATTACTCGTAATTATTCCCATAAACTCATTTAAGTTTTTAAAATTTTTATTTATTTATATGGGTTGGGTTTAGTCAATTCTAGTATGGGGTGCTCTAAACCTAGATCAGGTTTAAAATTTTTAAATTGGTCTGGATGGGGTAAGGTAAATGAAGTTAATTCTATCTTAAAATGTAAAATAATTGTCTGTGTACAGATTACGAGACAGACCAAAAAGCAAATTGGACAGAACCGAAACATCTAGTTATGTAGGATCAAATTCTAATAAGTCCGGATTCCATAGCTTTGGTACCCGATAGAATTTGGGCCCGTTTAAAATCAGAATTAGACCGAGTCACACCGATATACTCCTACTTTAAGGCATTTACAATGGGGGACTCTTAGAGTAGTGGAAACGGGTGTGACGCCCATAGGCATCAACCCTATTTTTAACACCTGGGGGGCGTTAAACACCGCCCCTAGGGCGTGAAATGGGCTTCATGACATCGGTGTCAGATTTTTGACGCTGTCCTTCCCCATTCTAACGGCTAAAATAGCTGTTGCAAAATTTAAAAAAATTAATTATTTTTTTTAATTTCAAACTCATCTCCTCCAATTCTCAATCTTTCAATCTCCAATTCTCACACCTTTTAATCTCCAATTCTCACACCTATCAATCTATTCACATCTTCTTCAATTCTCCAATTCTCCAACTCTCTTTTCAACATGAATCCTTCCGGCTCTGACTTCTTCCTTGGGGTGGAAACAGTACGGTTCCGGACCGGTTCCAGTTCCGGAACCGCCGGTTCCGGTACCGCCACTCCTAGATACCGGTACCGTGACCGGACCGGCCGGTTTCGGCCACCCCCAAATATATATTTTTGCTTTTTTTAAAAATTTTTAAAGTGTAAAATTGTAAATTTGCAATTGTTAAAGGAAAGATTGAAATAAAAAATCTAAAAATGTAGTTGTTATTTAAATATTGAAAAATGAGTAATACACGAACTGAAGAACAACTACATTTAATATCGTGACGGTTCAAAAAAAAGCGACGAGATAAAGAACCGTAAAGAAACCCTCGAAGGAGCTTATATACCGCTCACCTAAAAAAACTAATTACATATTTAAATTAACATAAAAAAAAGTTTATAACTTATTCCTCAGAACTCGGACTTCCATCTGTGGTTGCATTCATGTAATGCTCCGAATTGAATTCGTACCCTGACTCTTGAGCTCGACGTCTTGCCAAGAGCCAATCTTGGTTGCAAACAAGTGTTTCAAGAGATTCAGCGTTAAGACAACTTCGAAAGTCGGTTAGAATGTTGCCGCCAGCACTGAATTCTCGTTCCACAGCTACGGTTGATACCGGGACGGACAACACTTGTCTTGCTAGCTTTCCAAGACATGGGAACATGTGTTCGTTCCGCTTCCACCATCCAAGGACGTCAAACTCCACGTCGTAATCGCATGGCACCCCTTGGTACATAGCAAGTTCGTTGTGCGAGCTTACTGTTGTACCACTCGAACCGTCTGAGGTGGCTTTAGCTTTGCCTCTCCTCACACTTCGGTTCACGACGCCCATATCCACGGACCTTCTACCGGACTCTCTCGACATTTTAATATATATATTTTTTTATATAATAAAATAATATATTAAATTTCGAAAATTTAAAAAAATACAAAATTTTATATAGAAATCATCCTAAATAGGACTAAAACATAGAGAAAAAGTACCAAAATAAGACTTTCATGTTTTTTCCCCGGAATAGGACTATGCATTGTGGTAATGTGACCGTGTACATGTGCAAATTAGTATACTTTTTTTGGTAATGTATATGACCATGTTTGGTAATGTAAGTCCTATTTCGGGAATAAAAACATGGAAGTCCTATTTTGGTATATTTTCAATGTTTTAGTCCTACTTTGATCTTTCTTCCAATTTTATATATTAAAATTTCAAAAATTTCAAAAAATAAAGAATATATTTAAAATATAAATTATATATTTTTTGATATTAAAGAAAATAAAATATTAAATTTTGAAAATTTAAAATAATTTCGAAATTTTATATATTAAAATATAATATATTTAAAAAAGAATATATAAAAGAGATAATAAGATATTAAGATTGAGAAATTGAGATTTGAGAATTGAGAGATTGATAGGAATGATAGATTGAGAGATGGATTGAGTGTGATTTTTTTAGGAAAAAAAACGAGGTATTTATAATATTTTTAATCCCNGCCCCCCCCCCCCCCCCCCACTAACCTCTGTTTTTTTTGCAAGTGCACCAGGTATCCGTTGGAGCAAAAGAGAAAAAAAAATAAACCGGCACCGGAACCGGTACCGGTACCGGCGGTGCCGGTAACGAAATTGGGGCACCGGAACCGGTACCGGATGGGGCGGTACCGGTTCCCGGAACCGATTGTCCGTCCCGCTCGACGGTGAAAGTGCTCGGTCCTGGCGGTACCGTTGCCGGTCACGGTACCGGTACCGTGTCCACCCCTACTTCTTCCCCGACGATCTCGAGCCTAACGAGTACGCCATGTGGTATTTCCATCAATTTAGGAATAATCCGTCGATGTTCGAGACGTAACCATCGCGGTACGTCTATGAGCGGGAGTCGGTTCTGGAGACTCAACCGGGACCATCGGGTACCAAACAAAGTGCATGCCGGAAGAGCCACAAAGTGAAAGGCACGATGACAGAGGCGGCACGATCAGTCCAAAAGTGGACGCTGGAGGAAGAGTGTTTGTTGTCGGCTTGGGTTGATGTCTTCGAGAATCCTATCGTTGGTAAAAATTATATGTTTTCTAATATTATTTATATAAAATTATATATAATCGTGTTATAAAAAAAATTCCGTCTTATACTTTTTTAAAGGTTCAGAGCAAACGAATGATGCGATATGGGATCGTATCGAGGAGAAGTTCTTCACGGCGATGAACAAGGACGGCTCCTACCGTACCCGGGACCAACTCACTTCCAAATGGAGCCACATCAACCGTAAAGTCCAAAAGTTTATTGGAGTTTACGAGGAATGCGCCCGGTCCCGGAGGAGTGGGACGAACGACGGCGATGTTCTCCGGCTTGCCACGGCTCGGTATCAAGATGACGGGCACCAAGGCAAGGTGTCCATCGATCTTTGGAGGATCTTGAGCCGTTCACCGAAGTGGCAACAACTCAACAATTCCGGCGGCGGATCGTCAAAGAAAAGATCCTCCGTCAACGCCGAGGTTGAGGTCAATGACACTATCGGTTCATCCGAACAAAGGCCTCCCTTCAACGATGCGTATTCCGATGACGAGGATCTCATTCCACGGCCGATCGGAAGAAAGAAGGCAATATCCATTGCCTCGGGTTCTGGAGGGTTCAGCTCTGTTTTCATTTCTTCTCGCGATGAAATCGGTCGAGCAATGGTTGAACAACTTCGAGTGTTCAATATTCGAGAAGAAGAGAGGATGAAGCGAAAGGAAGAGAAGGACGAGATCGAAATCATGAAAACCGACCTTTCTACGTTATCGACCTTCAAACGTATGATCTTCGAGAGAAGACAAAAGAGATCAAGGCCAAATATAATTTACCTTAGTTTTTTTATTAATGTATTTTTTATTATTGTCGCTTTCTTTTTTTTAATTTAATGAGTGTAATTTTTTTAAATTATTGTAGTTTCAATTTCTTTAAATTTAATGAATGTAATTTTTTAAATTATTCTTGTTTCAATATAATTAAATAATAAAATAATTAAATTTTATTAATATAGTTTTAGAAGATATATATTTAAAAATGTAAAAAATGAAGGTTTGAAACCCCAGGCTTCAAACCCATTTCCATTGAAGCTGTGAGGTAAGTTAAAGCTGACGTGGCAGAGAGAAATATTGAAGCCCCGGGCTTCACGGGTATTTCCAGTGCCCTTACCCGACTCCAATATCTGCCACATCATCATTCTTCTATTTTTTGTTGTACCATACCAAATACTTGCACCCACTCGCCCCTATCTCCATTTTTTTTGCACAATATTAATTATTTTTACTTAAAACACTTATATGAATTTAGTTAAAAATATTTCTCTATTAATAAAAATAAAAAAAATAAAAAATAAATATAACAATAAAAAATAAAAAATAAGCAATAAAAATAAAATACGTAAAATGCAATTAAATACAAAATATTACATTAATAAAATGGGGGAAACTTAACATGCTTAAAATTTAAATTAAAATCTCAAATACTAACAAATTGCTCTCATCCCAAAATGATTTACCTCTTTATTATAAAGGTATCTCAATACTTTGTGTGTTCGCATGTTTTTAAATATTTTTATTTTATTATCAATTTGTAAATAAAATTATTTTAAAAGTCACTGGGTTTTACACGTTGATCGAAAGGGTAATTTATTTTGAGACAGAGGGAGTAAAAAGTGCTTGAGTGAGATGAGAGTGCATAAATTGGAGTTGGAAATTATAAAAATTTATAGAGTTGAAAATTAAAATATATATTGATATTTAAAAAAATTATTTAAATAGTTGAAATTCTAAATGAAAAAAATCAGTGACGCGTCAGCCGTCTACAATGGACGATGTTGCTGACTTGCTTCCACTTGGGCATGCCGCTCGCCTCGCCCCAAGCCCGGTTCCCGGCCCACACTGCGGTGCCGATCCATCCTCCGTTGCATGCAATGGCGTGCGCCGCTCGCCCTGCCCGTAACAGCGGAGCGGCGTCCTCCCTCGCCAGCAACTCCTTATTTTGTTTTATATTTTGGTCCATGTGGCCTAGATTTACATTTCCTAACTCATTGAATGGCCAAATCTATTCCCTCAAAGTTACGAATCGTACAAGTTACCACTTGCCGCGTGAACGACTCTTGCAGTAGCAGTGCCAAAGGACGTTGTGCAGTTGGCAAAGAAAAGGGTGTCAAGGGATTAACACTCGAGTTCGATTTTCTGACAAATAGATTAGTAGGCATTAGGCAACTATGCTAAGCATATGACCTCTGCACACACACATGTGATTATCAATCAACAACATCATAACTTGTCACAACTCTACATAGGGTGCATGCAAATCAAAACTTCAATTTAAGTTTCTTTTGGTTGCAATAAATTGTTTCTCAGTTTACTATCATTTAGATTTAAAATTGTGATGTTAAACACTCATAGTGCACAAGGTCATGCAAAAGGGGCAAAGTATGAAAATAGCACTGTTAATTGATGTTACCGGATTTGTAGCACAGTCAGCTTGTATATACTCTTTCTTCATCCCACCTATACCCAGGTCATTACTGTTGCGATGGACACAACTGCATAAATTGAAAAAAAGAATTTCATGATAAAGAAATGAATATCACGTCAATAGACTCACATCATATTCATCACTAGAGGTATAACTAAGTGAAAACATTATACTAGTAAATACAAGAATGCGATATATATATATATACACACACACACATATAGGGGCTGGTTCAAGTGAGAATGCATCTTGGTGAAAGAAATAAGAATAAAATCTGGCCTTTGGATCTGATGCATCGTGCGGATCAGATTGCATTCTGCACTCAAATTTTGAGATAGTGCATTTTCAAAGGATTATGGTGCATTTCGACATGATGCATTTTCAAACCATCTTGGTGCACCTAATTTTGATGCAATCCTAACCCTTAGATCTCCCAATCTAATGCACCAGATTCATTCTTATTTCTTTCATTAGATTGCATTCTCACCTGAACCAAAATCTATATATATATATATATATATATATATATATNATAAGAATAAAATCTGGCCTTTGGATCTGATGCATCGTGCGGATCAGATTGCATTCTGCACTCAAATTTTGAGATAGTGCATTTTCAAAGGATTATGGTGCATTTCGACATGATGCATTTTCAAACCATCTTGGTGCACCTAATTTTGATGCAATCCTAACCCTTAGATCTCCCAATCTAATGCACCAGATTCATTCTTATTTCTTTCATTAGATTGCATTCTCACCTGAACCAAAATCTATATATATATATATATATATATATATATATATATATATATATATATATATATATATATATATATATATATATATATATATATATATATATATATATATATATATATATATATATATATATATATACGAAAAGCAAATTATACTCCGTATTAAGTTAATTTTGAGCACAAGGCTTAAAGTAGAACATATTGTAGAATATGAAGAAATTCCTTTGGCATTCTAGTATAAGACCGAGTACCTTATAATGCCTGCTGTAACACTGTTCCGTAAGTACAAGGGACAACCAATGGTTATCACTAAATCTCCGGGGCGAAGCTTAGCTGAAGTACCAAGTTTTGCACATGGAAATGGTGTTTTGTGTTTTATCTTTACAATTGCAACATCCAACTCTAAATTAGCAATTTCTACTCTACCCTCAAAGGTTCGACCGTCTTCCAAAGTCACACCAATCTGTTGAAATAAATGTTTGTTTAATCAAATGAGAACTTAAAATAGCTTAAAAGTAAGGACAAATTGACCAAAACTAAAAAATAATAATGAGAAGAATGTAAGGGTCTTTCTCAGAAAAGTTAGGGGTCAAATGAAATTGTTACAAAAGCAACACAAATAAGGATTTGAGACAGGGACAATAAGTAAAAGCATACAAGCCAAAACAGATGTCATTGGGAGTTCTCAGGCTTTGCCAATCTTCCCCCACAAATAACACAAAAATGCGCATTTAAAGATGATTACTTAAAATGAAGTAGCAGAGACAGATCTCAATTCCTATTGATCAATATAAGATTAAAGCTCAATTAAATTCCTCCCAAGCTCCTGTTTGGAACGGTCCTTGAGAACCGCGAATTGGGCTCATCTTTTTTAATAAAATTGGGGGGGAGGGGTATGCAGATTGGTTAATTACTTTCCCACCTGACAGTAGAGATGTTTCTTAGAGACCCCTGACTCAAGTACAAAAAAGTACAAACTTAGGCAAAAAATTATTTGTTAGGTTGTAAAAGGACAGATGAAACATGCCAAAGAGAGTTAGTTATCTATAAAAGAACATTAGATTAGAGATCACCTTCTCTTTAATAATACTTGACCCTGGAAAAGATCTCAACGTGTTCGCACAAGTTAAGATGGTCCCATCTTTGTCTATTATAGTACCGCATCCATGTAAACCTGCCAAACATCAAAATAATCAAAGAACGTAATAGTTAGTTTTTATAGTGCGTAGTAATCCTTGTGATTTTTAATTATTAATATACTCCGTATAAAATCCTTGAATTATTAATATACTCCGTATAAAATTTACATTGCCTTTTTTAGTTTCGTCTAAATTTTTCTAAGTTATGGCCTTGAGATGTGAAATGTGATGTTTCCATTACCAATAGAGCAATGCTAGGGGTACACCAAAGGTGTACCCCAAATGTACACCACCCCCTTCTCCACCACCCATTTTTAATTTATTTTTATTTATTTTTTTTGAATGTCTTGCCTTTTTTTGTGGACAAGGAGGGGATGGGGGACAAATGGGGTACACATTTGGTGTACCCCTAGCATTTTTCTTTTCTAAATTCCCCTTAGTCTATAAAGGCAGTGGCACTGTAGTGTCACTATAACCCCGTGTCACTCAAATTGCTCTGCGGTGCACCACATGGACTATCAATTTTCATCTGAAAGAATATTTTTATTTGACATATTTATTTATTCACTTACCCATAGAATCAGACAAACTGACTACAGCAGGACTAATACTTGCAGCTGCATTGGCACTAGTATCTCGGTTAAGACACTTAGAACACGAGTGTTTGGCACCCCCTGCATGAAGTATTTTGAACTGCATTTAGTGCTACATCGTCATAAAATAAATTATACGCTTTCTTTCTTGATCCATTCCAAAATAAAGGCTCTTTTTTTTCTTAGTATAATTAAAATGTGATCATCAGTATTACTCTCTCTTTCAAATCAATTTCAACAATTTATTTTTTTACTTTTTAATACTTTTCATAAATACTATGCTCGGTTAAAATAGATTTTTAATTTGAAGACCAGATTATGAAGTCCTCTCTTCGTCCCAAAAAGATGTGCATGTTTGTTTTTTATCTGTCCGCAGCATCTGTTTCTGTACTTTCTGCAGCTCATAGAGTTTCTGTTTACTCTACGTAAAGCTCAAACACAGTTTCCACACTATTACATTAGCCAAAAATTAATACTCTCCAAAACAGAACCAAGAATCTCGGCTATACTGGATAAGAATAACGATTTCACTAAAAAGCCCTCATTATTGCAGTACTAATTTAGCCAGAAATTTAACATTAACTGTTGCATCTAATGGTGTAAAATATTTATAGTTCTCTCGTAAGATGGTATTCCCATTTGATTCAATACGCTTGGGGGCGTAGCTGAGCTAGTCAATAGATGATGCAAAAGAGGGTAACGTCTGGCTCAACTCTTGGCAACCACGACGAAAGATGATAAAACGAGTTAAAAGTATTCGTAGAAGTAGACACTGCAGTAGTTAGGAAAGTACAACCTTCCAAATAGAAACTAGGCAGTTCAAAGATAATACCAAAAAGTGGCAAAGGTTATACTTATACCTGTGAACCACCCGCCTAAAGCCAAATACACACAAGAAAAGAGTAATGGACCCGACCAAACTACAAAAAAAGTGTTTAATATGATATCTTGTTAACAGACACGAAAAGAGGTGTTAAAAATCAATGTGATTGGAATGAAGGGTTTTAGAATTACTTGAACCGTAATCCCAAGATGTGTGGTATGCTAGCGAAGAAGATATTGCTAATATAGCTCCAATAAAGGCTCGAACAATCAATTTCTTGCCACAATCTGCAATTTTTCCCTGTAAAATAAAACAGATACTATAGAAGTTTTGAAGGTGTAGATACTAGAATCTCGAAGTTGTGTAGTATCTTTTTGTTGAGGTTTAAAAGATTCTGAAGGGAAATAATATTTGTTCTCACATACCATAAGGCGCATCATGGCTAGTTGTTCCACTTCAACAATGTAAATGTGACTTTAATTTTAACATGATAGTGAGTTTTGTTTGGTACAGTTTATATATAATCATGGCATGTTATTCTTGGTCTCTTTGTAGAAGATATGCCATTTTCATCTTTACCAGACACCGCATATTCCTTGTCATCCGTGAAAGGCACTTTGTGACTGTCATTTCTTGTAAGCCACCACATGTAGGGGATATACATTTAGGAAAGAAAAATAAAGTTTATTATTATTATTATTATTATTATTAAAGAGTGTAGAAGGATATTTTGGAAAAATAATCTGCTGCAGCTCAAACACTACACTACAATAGCTACCATTTGGAGCTATTCATCCAGGAGAAGGAAGATGGCCTCGATTATTATTCAACAACACAACACTTTCAGCAGGTATCTTTTTCATCACTCTTCCTTTCTGTGGACAAGACAATGCCTGGGTTGTGGAATTCCTCAAAAACTCGCAGAGCATCTCCCAATAAACAGGTTTGAATTAAGCACACCAAGTTTCTTTCAATCCACTACACACGGTGAAAGAATGAGTCTTTTGACAATAAAAGGAACAGGGAAAGATAGACAACGCATCTTCGTATCGTTTTTCTCTACAATAACGCTGAAGGATGCAGCTCCTCCTCCTGCTGGGAATTTTGTCGAACAGTTGAAGGGTTCTGTCATGAAGTCCCAACAGATATATACAACATTCGAAATTAAAATTATTGCAGTTGTAGAAGTTAAACTTAATCAGAAAGGAAATAATGCTGGGTAATTGATCTCACCTGTCATAAGGTGTATCATGGTTAGTCATTCCACTTCAACCATGTAAATGTGGCACTTTACATGAGAGTGAGTTTCCTTTTGCACAGTTTATAGTCATGGCATGTTATCCCATGTCACTTTCTAGGAACACCAACTTTCACCACATACTACTTGTCTTCTGTGATAGGCACTTTGTGACTTTGTCATTTCAAGGAAGTTACCACATATGGGAAGATGGCCTCAATCATTCAGCAATACAAAACTTACAGCAGGCATCTTTTTCATCCCTCTCTCTTTCATTGAAGTTCTCAGTTCATTAGCACCATCCCAGTCTCCATCTGCTGCATAGATGTTTGATAACAGAAGGTAATATCCTGCATTATCTGGATCCAACCGGAAAAGATTCCTTGTCGCAATTCGTCCCAACTCTGCATTTTGATATGTCCTAGAGGCAGCAAGCAAAGCTCCCCACGCGGCATCTGCTCGTAAACCTTGATCTATCATTCCATCAATGATGCCGATGATGGACTCATCCAATTCACCCGTACGTCCCAGAAGATCAACCAGTATGGAATAATGCTTCCACTCTGGAATCAGTGCATAGTCATGCACCATCGCTTTGAAGAATTCGATGCCCTCCTTAACCAGACCAGTGTGACTACAGACACCTAAAATTGAGAGAAAGGTGACAGCATTGGGCCTAATTGTGGCTGAACTTCTGATCATTTGAGAGAATATACCAATAGACTCATTCACTTTTCCATGAATCCCATATGCCGCAAGCATGGAACTCCAAACGACAATGTCTTTGTCTTCTACCTTCATTTCGTCAAAAACGTTGATGGCATCACTTAAGCTACCACATTTTGCATAACACTCTATAAGTGATGCCCCAACGAAACGATCATTCTTGAACCCGCTTTTGATTATACAACCATGAAGACATAGCGCTTGTTGGAGAATCCCCGTCTCTGAACAGGCTGCCAGAACACCAACCATAGCATTGGCTTCAGGCTGGATGCACCCGAGAGTCCTCATATCGCGAAAAATTGCCAGCGAAGCATATGCCATTCCGTTTCGAACACACCCATGTAACACGGCACACCAAGAAACAGCATCTTTCTTAGGCATGTTCTCAAAAACCATTAATGCTTCACTTGGGCAACTGCAGTTCATGTACATGTCAATCAAAGCTGTGGACACAAAGATATCCGACGACACAAACCCTTTATGGACTGCAAGTTTGTGGATCTTTCTACCCTCTACTAAATTTCCAGTAGCTTCGCACGCTTGCAAAGCAGTGATGCAGCTAACAGAGTTAGGCTCAACACCCATAAGCATCATCTCATTGAAAAGATCCAGTGCCTTGTTAGGAGCCCCATTATGAGCATAGCATATGATCATAGACGCCCATGATATCACATCTTTCCGTTCAGTCATTCTGAATAAATTTGCAGCAGCAATAACAGCACCTGTCTTGGCATATAAATTCAAAAAAGAATTCACCAAAGGTAGGGAAATATAAAAGCCCCTCCTAACGGTAAACCCATGGATGCTTCTCCCAGCATTCGTATTCAACGGGCACAAACTGAAACAACAGTGACAAGGGTTACATCGTCGGGGCCGACACCCTTGCGCCTTATTAACTCAGAAAAAACACTCAGCGACCTCTTCGGCTCCCCATTCTGCTCGTAACCGGAGATCAGCGAAGTCCACAAGACAATGTCTGGGTTGTGGAATTCCTCAAAAACTCGCAGAGCGTCTCCCGTTTCTCCACACTTTGAGTACAATTCAACCAGCCTGGCCCCAATAAACAAGTTTGAATCAAACACCCCGAGTTTCTTGATCAAGGAATGAATCGCTTTCCCGGGGCCAATCGCCCTTAGTTCAGAGCACGCTTTCAGTCCACTACACACGGTGAAAGAATCAGTCTTTTGACAGTAAAAGGACCAGGGAAAGATAGACAAGGCATCTTCGTATCGTTTTTCTCTGCAATAACGCTGAAGGATGCAACTCCTCCTGCTGGGAATTTCGTCGAACAGTTGAAGGGCGCTGTCGTGAAGTCCAAACGTGATATAAGCATCGGTGAGAGTTGAGGCGAAATCAACGTCTTGAATTGGTCCGGTTTTGATCAAATGGCAGTGCAGTCGTGTTATTGATTTCTGAGTGTTACATGCTCCGAAAAGCTTCCATATGGCATTCATGCACCACTGCAACTCCGAAAGATGGCACGCGAGGAATCTGAGAACTGGATGCTAAACTAATGAAGTCTAAGATCATGCCAATAGTAATTAAAGAAATGAAATGAGACACCGCACATTTTAACCAATCAAAAATAGTTTCAGTCAGAAATAAGAAATTGTTAAAAAAATTATCAAAAGTTTTTTAAAACAATTGCTAAAAAACATATTTTATTTTATCAATTAAAGCCATAAAAAAGTATACACCAACAAAAGTTATTCTAAGATCAAAATATACCAAGTTTTGGAAACGAGGGAATAGATCTAATGTCTTCAAAAAAAAAGTTTATTTCTATTTGTCAAAACAAATAAAAAAAGGAAAAAAAACAATAGTATACTTCGCATATGTCATGGAAAGCAAGTGACACAACAATGGAAGAACTAATAAATTTCCAAAAAAATGTAGGGTAGCAGAGTAGGAATGGATAAATTGGAACGAATAATTTTTCAAACGAAAATTCTCAATTTGGCTCGTGTTATAATATGACACCAAGATTTGGTGTCAAAAATGATCGAGCCGAAAAAAATAACAATAATAATGATAAGTGTGCTCATTTTATACTCTTTTCGTCTTGCAAAAAGTTCCACAATAAAATTGACACAATTATTATGAAAAGTAAAATTAAATGTTTGAAAATTGTGTTAAGAAGAGAAATGATATGGAATACGAGCTACTGAAATTTTTCCATAAATAAAATGTAAAACTTTTTTTAAGACAAATGAAAAATTAAAATGTAAAACCTTGCTATGAGATGGAAGGAGTAATACTTAAGTTACATTATCAAAATTAATCGTGAGAGCAATAGAAATTCTTTCGCTATATGAGATAGAGGTTCTGATATTTTTTGAAATCAGAACCGTTTTGTAGGCTTTTGGTGAAGCCTAAATAGATTTTGATTTGTTATCTCCGATATCAAAACCCTACCAAATGGAGATATTTTGATACCTTACGAAATAGGGGTAAGTTCTATTTTGGCAGTTCGATTGTCATCCAAAACCAAAGACAAAACGAAAGGTAAGTTAGCGATTCGATTTGGTTTCATACCAAAAATATGTAATTCATTGGTTGATCAGTTTGGATATTTGCGGTTTTTATTTCGATTTTTCCAATTTTCAAAAAATAAAATTTATAAGCATTAAAAATGATATAACAACACTAACTCGAAATTTGTAAACATTTAAAAAGAAATATCAACACTAAATCGATGAAGCAATAATAAAATAATACCCGGAGTATTCTTTTTGCCAAACTAATGTTCATTTATTTAACAAAGTTTAAATCATTTATAATTAAAAAAAAATTGGCTCGCAGTTAGAAGTTCTATAGGGCGCCATGGCTAGGCTAAAGCACCCACTACGCACGGTCTAAGTATATAGGAAAAAATGCTCCATTATTACGGGACGGTTCTCATGACATTGTCAACAATATCATAGGATGATTTGAGAACGTTCTGTTCTGATGCCCCATTTGTAAAATTAACGGTTCCTTCCCTCTAATCCCCGGTAAACCCCCCACCTGTCCCGCCTCGAACACCCCCTCCTCTTCAATTGCACCCCACAAGTTAATTTTGACTTTGGAGTCAAATTTTAACTCCAAAGCCAAAATTAACTTGTGGGGTGCAAATGAAGGGGTGGGAGGTTTATCGGGGTTAGAAGGAATCAATTTTACAAACGGGACACCGGAGCGCCCCCGGGTCATTTCATGACATGGGTTCCAATGTCACGGAAGTATAATTGAGTTGCGTGTTTAAACCTAATAAATTGGACCGGTTTCAACATTCCCATCACACGAAATATTTATATACTCCATCCATCTTATTTTAAGTTGTCCAACTATACTCAGCTATTGTCTTTATTAACTCCATTGTGGACTACAATGTTCTTAGCTTTAAAAAAAAATTAAAGCAAAAATATTTTTTGTTAAGTAGCGTAAACATCAACGAGCAACTTAAATTAGGAAGGAGGCCTGGTTCATCTTACAACAAACTACTAGGAGTTGAGAAGTCTCTAAGAATCAATTCTCTCCAAAAACAAACATGGGGCTGACCCCATGAGGAATTGAAGGGGGGGAAAGCTCACATGCTTGGATTTGCTTCCTCTGGAACAACAGTTAATGTTAGAGAAATACCATTACTTCTCTTCACAACTGCTGTCAATGGCTGTCCAACCCTATCGCCCATTATCTCAATTATCTGCAACCACATTCATGGAGGTATGGGAAAGCGTCACTCTCTCTATAGGGGGGGCACATCAATGATAAAAAATATCCAAATATTTTTTTCGAATTTTTCATCGAAATCTCTGCATTTTGAAGTCTCAGATAAAGATATGAGGGAACAAAACTGCTGTGGAATGACTGGAATCTCGAAGAGAAAACAGAGAATGTCAAGAAATATAAAAATACCAAAAAAATCAAGAAATATGGAGTAATGAATCCTGATAGTTTTTTTTTCCAAAAATACTGACACTCATTACTTATTCTGGAAAAAAAATTGCAAAATGTCTTGTTGTTTAAAATAAAGTAAAAAAGATCTTATCTCGGTATTAAAACAACACACTAGTTTTTCCATGACTTCAAAGCACCCATAAATACTGATGTTTTATTAGAATCAGATTAGAAGAACCATTAAACTGATGTGCATACCTCCTTAATGGTCCCAACAGACTTTCCATCAAATTCTATAACGACATCGCCTGGATGAAACCCTGCAACATCGGCTGGTGAACCTGGAGTCACCTATAGAACGATGACCCTTTATCAGGATATATCTAATCATTATATGTGTAAACACAAAATGCATAATGTTGATTCGGGCTCGAAAGCAATGTGGGAACCTGATTGAGCAAACCAAGAAGACACATAGAGAGTTAAAAAAGAAGAGTTAATACCATGGGTACAAGGACACCTTTTTTGACATTAGGGAATCTCGAATCTTTTTCCTTGAGCTGTGCAACAATCATATCATTGAGATCAATCATTTTTAACCCCAACCAAGGTCTAACAACTCTCCTGAAATATCAACATCCATGGTCCAGTTATTATCACAAATGCTGCAATAGGTATAAACTAATAAAGTCGCGGATAATAGAATAGGCCAAGTTTAACTTGATAATTCCTGGTCAAAAACAATTTGCTATCCTCAAGACATGATAAAACCGATTCCAGAATTATTGGAATGCACTAAGGAAGCTGGGAGAACACAATGTTAAGGCATATTTTATACCCATTTTTCCTGAAGTGCTCAATAATCTTGGAAACGGAATCAATTGGCACAGAAAATCCCAAACCATCAGCTGACAATACTTTCATAAAATTAACACCCACAACTTCTCCGTCAACATTTACAAGAGGTCCCCCGGAATTACCCTGCACGTGATAAGATTACATTAGCTGATTTTATGTTATGCTAATATCTACAATGTTATCCTCAAAAAAAAAGATGGATATAACTATTGTTACCGCATTTATAGCACAGTCGGTCTGTAAATACTCTCTCCTCATACCACCCAACCCTAAGTCACTACTTTTACGCTCTACACAACTGCATTGAAATCAAGAAAAGGAAGAATGTCATGATGTGTAAATGTATACCATGACAACAAACTCATTGTGAATGTGTCGATATGGTCTCATTGCCAAAGTTATATGTGATTAAATTATGAGACAAAGAAGAATCTCGTGCAAATAAACACATTATTAATTTATGTTGCAGTGCAGAAAATACAGAGTAGCAAACACCTTGTAGATATGAGAAGGTTGTATATGAAAAATATCCTTTAACATTATACCAAGCATACCTTACAATGCCTGCTGTAATTGTATTTTGTAGGGAAAGGGGACAACCCAGGGCTATCACCCAATCTCCAGGACGAAGCTTAGTTGAACTGCCAAGCTTTGCACATGGAAGTGGAGTCTTCGATTTTATCTTTACAATTGCAATATCAGAATGTAAATCAGCATTTTCAACTATTCCTTCAAAAGTCCGTCCATCTTGTAATGTCACATCAACCTGCAGACAGTTAAAGGATTGATATGATGACCAGATTGAATGAATCTAAAAAACACAAGGAACCACCCCTATCTGCTTACCCCCTTCCTCCACTCCCCTAATCACAAGGGTTGGTTTGGAGCATGTAAACAGCAATGATTAAAATAGATGATGCCTTTTGAAGTTTGTGAACGTTGCTGTAAAGTAGTCTTGATTTTGCAGTGAAGTCAACTCTTGTTTTATAGCTTTAGGGGAGTTTAGGGCATGGTTATTCCCTTTTATTATTTCTATTTAAACCAAGTGCTAAATAAGGAAACCGGCTTTACACTGTGTTTTAGGCTTCCTACTGTACCAGCTCAGGAGTAGTATCCTTTCCTGACATTATATATCTATAACTCAGTTCTAATTATCCTAAAATTCATTTCAAGTTCAGTATTCAAGTTGGTACTAGAGACAACAATTGGTGATTCAATCTGGTCAGGAACCTTTTTTTGTCTCCAGTGTTCCCAAAGGTGTATTATACAGAATATCTTCCATGATTTTTCTTCTCTGGTCACCAAAATGGCAAAGCTTGGGGAACAAATATTACGTTGGTCCCGACAATCATTGAAGTCCAGAAATCGCTTCCAACAAACGTATGGTACACTTCCATAGTTCCATGTTACTTGAGTATCTTGGGTTGTGGTGTATCTCAAAAATCCTTGCATATTATTCCTTTCCAAAACAATAGTTTAAAGTCTATACAATCTATATTTTATGTCAAAAGATTCTAAATATAGTACTGTTTCATACTTTGATCTGAAGTGACCTGACCTATCATGAATCTAAAGGAAAGGGTCTTATTTCTTTAGTAGTCCCACAATTACCTCCAAAGTCCAAACAACATAATGGTACGAATTTGTATGTACACTGCTATAGCTAGTAATTTGATTTTTGAGTCAAGGTACAGCAAGAAACCTAGTATTATCCCAACAGATCAAGATGTATGCAACCTTACTTATGGGCTCATTCGTGATTGGCTATGAGCCGCTGCTTGAAACCTCAGCCTTCGTTCTTTATTATTCAAATCGTGGTGGACAAAACCACGAGTGTGTTGGTCAAAGGCGTGGAATAGGTGATTGCCCTTGGTGCTTATATTGTAAACCAGAAAGTTACCCTTTACATGGTTTTCCAGAAATATCTGTCAACTTAATGCAATCTTATGACTCATAGAACGAAAAGAAGTGGACCAATTACGGAAAATACTACATATATAGAGCCTTTCGGTCTAAATTATCATTTCCATCGTCGTCCAGCTACACGAATAGAATAATCAACTATGATCAAGTCATCATCTTCTCCTTCATCTTCAACAATTCCAGAAAATCCTCAGACAAACTCTGATCTTCCTATTGCACGTTGTAAAGGTATTTGTTCTCACAACCATCTTACTAATTATAACTGTTAAAGTTACTACCCTTCACCTTCCACTCATTGTGCTATTATATCTTCCTTAACTTCTGTTTCCTATCCTAAAACTGTTGGAGTGTCACTTTCCCGTCTAAGTTGGCGACCGGCAATAATAAGCGATGGGCGTGTTAGATTTTAATGATACTTGGACACTGGTTCCATCTCCTCAAAGAATATCTACCGTTAGCTATCACCAGGTATTTATGGTTAAAGTCGGTCAATAGGACAATCGGCCACTTAAAAGCGCATATTGTCACANACCCCCCCCCCCCCCCGTTGCCAAATTAGCATGTATCCACCTCATTTTGTCCATGGTTGCTATTTCTCATTGACATTTGTACCAACTAGACATAAAGAATACTATGTAACTTTTTATAGGATACTCTGGAAGAAAAAAAATTTATGGAGCGACATCCCAAATTCTGCTCAGGGAAAGTAAGATTTTGTGTGCAAACTTCAAAAACTGTTGTATGGTTTTAAACTACCAACTCAAAGTTGGTTTGGGAAAATTGATCAAATGTTAAAAATGTTTGGTATGACTCGAAGTAAGGTTGATCATTATGTGTTCCTTAAACACACAGCATCTTAGTAATAGGGTGGTAAATGGGCCGGATCTTATAAGACCTAGACCGAGAGCTATGTATTTATTTTTCTTTGGACCCCCCTTCACTATCTAGCCGGTCCATTTTAAAATGTCCCACATTCAGGAAATCAAGACATGAATACAAGACCCACCCCAATAAGCCTAAATGACAGTTAGAAAAAAATTATTTATCATTCAAACTAAACCTATTTAGAGGAAAACAAATTTCATAAATGATGATGACCAGAGAACATTTTTGTGAATGACCAAATGTGATTCTCATCTCGGTTCATGTAGTCGACTCCAAATTACTAGGGAGTTGGAATAAGAGTTTGTTGTCGTTGTATAATTAGCCAAGTGGCATCTAAATTCAGAATTAAAATCAATAAGTACTCATCTAAATTACCAAAATGTAATTTGATCCAAATGCCCATCTAGCAATGCATAACAATTGTCAATTTTGTCCGACTTTCATTTCATTGTTGTCCAAATTACAGCTTCTTCTCTGAAGAAGCCAGTCAAGCCACTATATCTAATTATCTATGATCTCCTTGGCAAGAGAATGAATTTGAAATTATAGATCTCATTTTGATGATAAGGATGACATAGAGCTAATGACATCACATATAAAACTTATGAACATGAACAAACTCCGAAGGAAAGGACAAACCACATCCTACAAACGAGAAGATTGTCATACACGCACATACGGAGAGACCGACCAACCATTTGATCCAAACTTGATTTGAACCAGAAAAAAAAAAAGAAAAGGTCAAATAAGATCAAACGCCTTTTAGCAATTCTATTGATGAATATTTCAAAGCAATAAGATATTTTTATATAATCACTTCATCCAACAAAAAGGTTTCACAATGGAATCGAAATGATTATCTAAAAACATGAAATTGTGCGGTTGAAGTAGTGCTAAGGATAGAGAAATAATATGAACCACATAATTTTTTTCATAATAGGAAGTGGAATCTGTTTTTGGGAGACGAAAGAAGAAATGTGAAACCTTTTTATGGAAGAAAATTCGTATCAAATAACCTTCCTCCTTCCTGTTGGGTGCTCCAATTCCTATTTACACTGACATTAGGAAATTAGTAAAGTATGTGGTTGAAGCTTATTTAGAAGGAAAAAAAAGAGAAATATAAATCATAAACTTATTTCCTTACATTAAGAGAACTCCCTCTCCGTCTCCTCCCTCCCTCCCACCCCTTGTGTGTTTGTGTTCAACCTTCCAGGCACAAATGTTCTATGCCTGACCAATCTTTTCAACACACACACACTTTATATATACATACATATATATATACTCCCTCCGTCCAACAATAAAGTTCTCGTTCACTATTCACAGGATCAAATTTTATTCACTTTGTTGGCCTATTTTTGTGTCTTATTTGATAAAATAATATAGTCATGTCACCTCTAGTTTTGTAGATCTTTTCATGTAGTTTTTAAATATGTAATTTTTATTTTCTAATTCCATATCATTTTTCAAATAAAATGATTTGAAAATAATTTCAGTCAAACATCGTAACGCGTAATGGGAACTTTATTTGTGGACGGAGGAAGTATATATATGTGTGTGTGTATATATATATATATATAAGTAAGTCTAAAATGACACCAGTGCTACTGGTGTCATTTGCTTACACCAGTTCGCTTGGGTACCTACGATGCCCCGTTTGTAAAAATGACGATTTCTGTCCCCCCCTAAACCCCCCACCCCAGCCCCACCCTTGCCCCCCCACCCCAGCCCCCCCCCCCTCCCGCCCCCCTCCCTACCCTGGGGTGGGGGTTTAAGGGGAGGGTGTGTGTGCGCGGACCTTACCCCTACTCGAAAGTAAAGAGGCTGCTTCCAAAGAGACCTCCGGCTCAGCATCGAAAGTTGCATTGATTGACTAACTGCTATTCCATTAATTAAAGACGCGCTGACAATTTAGAGAGTCATTTTGCTTTATTCCATCACACCCCAAAGACAAAAAATAGTGAATTTTTGGCTCCATCAGAGATAATGAAAAAGAAATGGGGCTACATGCATGTAGTTTTTTTCTTTTTGTTGTGGAGACTCCGGTTGTTTTCCCGTTTAGTAACTTCTTTTTCTCCCCTCGCCTTTCATCTTTCTAATAAAAAGAGTCATATTTCTCCAATGTACAAGGTTTAAACTTGTATGATGTACAACTTTTAGAAATCACCAAATACAGATATTTATTTCAAAGCTATGTTAACTATATTTTATATATTTAACCCGTTTGACATACTTAATTTATTTAAAAACATTTAATATGATGAAAATTAACACCTTTTCACTAAATTTGACTCTATTACTATGACAATAATATACTGAGAAAGAGGACTCTTTTATAGAGACAAATAAAGTATATGTTTTCTTCTTCTTAATTTGTTGGAATTTAGTAATTTGTGTTTTATGATCCAATCTTTGGGACGGGATCTTTTCGAATCACCCTTCTTCCTTTTTAGGTAGGAGTTAGGTTTGCATACATCCACCCTCCCCAAACCCCACTCATGGGATTTTCCTAGTTTGTTGTTGACTTGTAGGGTCAAGGTCCAAGTAGGATATTACAAAATATGACACATGCCCAATTACGTATTGTTGGTATGGGTACAAGTTTGAGTCTAGTTCTAGCCCATTGAGTATTTATCTCGTGGTATATGTAGATGATATTGTTACCACATAAATATGTAATGTATCTGAAAGACTTCTCCATCTCAAACAGCATTTGTCTCACTATTTTTCGACAAAAGGATCAAGGGAGATTGCAATATATTTTGGGTATTGAGGTTGCTCCATCCAAAACATGTATTTCCATATGCAACAAAAGCATGCACTCAACATATTGGAAGAAAGTGGGTTGTTAAAGTGCAAATGAGTTGACACTCATATGCATCTAAATGTTAAACTTCTTACCAAATCAAGGTGGGCAATATCCAGATCTAGAACGATATCAAAGACTAGTTGGTAAAATGAATTATATTGTGGTGTCTTTACTAAACCAGATATAGCTTTTGTAGATCATGGCATAGTGCTCTCAGCCAGTTTCTTAATTCTCCCAATGGTTTTCATTCAAATGCAGTTGTTTGCAACCTAAAGCATCATAACGGGTCTCCTGGAAAACTATTATTAACATATGTCATATTGATATTACAGCACTAACTAATGCAGCTTGGGAAGAGTTCCAAGTGATAGAAGATCAACTTTAGGATGTGTTTTTCTTGGAGGTAATCTTTTTCTTGGATAAAAGGCTATGGCTAATTTTTACTCCAACAATCAAGATACTGCAAAGTAAATACTATGAGAGTAATTTGTAACAATCAATCCGCTCTGCGTATAGCATCCAATCTAGTTTTCATAAAAGAACTAATTGTGTTGAGAATGATTTTCATTTTATATGATATAGAGTTCTCTCAAAAGAAATCAATACATTGTCTGTCAGATCCAATGATCAATTTGGTGATGTGTTCATCAAGTCTTTGAGCAGCCTTCATATACTCTACATTTGTAACCTTGGTGCTTATGACATATACGCACAAACTTGATGTGAAATAGGTATAAAATTAGTCAAGACACTGTAAATTTGGTTTTTCTTTTGCTACGTTTAGGATTTGTCGACTTGGTCTTTCTCTTTTGCCAATTTTGTTTAAACCAAGTCCCCAAGGTGAGGGAACTGGTTTTTGAACTTTATGTTTTAGGCTCCCTATTTATATATGATTCAAGTTGTATCACATTAAGAGTAGTATTCCTCTATCTATATATCACTTTTTATTCTCCTAAAATTCATTTCAAGTTCAGTATTCAAGTGGGGTATATGAGACAGAAATCACAGAATGGAGACACTAAAAGTGACTCATGTTATGTTGCCAATGAAGCAGTAAATATAAAACATTTGGTGTTACCTTTCCATTTGTTAAAGAGCTTAATCCTTGAGAATTAACCACAACGTGGGCACAAGTTAAAATTGTTCCATCTTTATCAATGATAGTGCCAGATCCTATACTCTTTCCAGTTAATCCATGGAAATCTGCCAAAATAAATATAATAAACAATCATATAGACCAAACAAAACATAGATAATTAAAACTACTCATACTATGAGTATTTGCAAAATCCCAAAATTTACCCCTTTGAACTGACAAATTGACTATGGCAGGTCCAACACAGGCAGCTGCATTGGCAATGGTATCTCGGGTAAGACAATTAGTACGGGAATGTGCCGTACCAGCACCACCATCAACTACCGCAGAAGTTTCTTTCTTTACATCAGATGATGTTGCTTCATCTGAACTTGTTCTACAAACAACAAATGGAAACCTACCTGCATTAGGTCGTAACAATTGAGTTAACCAAGTGACTGGAAATACAGCCAAGGGCTAACCAATCTAAAAGTGGAGTATATATAAAGATGCATGTACTATACAAGTTTGTGAAGTTCCCAGGGAGAGATATGAAGGGTAGAATAAGTCCCTAATACTACCCCATTTCCATCGGATCGAGTCCTGCAGTGGCTTAGGAATTGAAACTGATATGAGACGGGCATCTGAAAGCAATTAATTTCCCTTTATCAAAATTACAGTTAATAAATATCATACCACGACAATAAAAAAACCCATTAGAATCCCACACACAGTAGGACTTGGGGAGTATGTGTACGCAAATCTTACCCTTATCATAAGTAGAGAGGTTGTTTCCAAGAGACCCTGAGTTCAAAAAAAACAAAAGTCATATCACAATAAATAAATACTCCATCTGTACCAATTGAAAGTTTACAGCACGTTTACGTGCGACCGAAATCATTTTCCATTCAACTTATTTAATAGTTGGTATAAATTTTTTAAAAAAATTGTATATAATTCCTCCTTCCCGAAATAGATTACAATCTTTTTTACTTTAACATCTCTATAACTTTTAAAATTGTCACCTTTTTTTGTAGAACTTTTGGCCAATTTTTTTAATATCTAAGTTGTATTTTATATTTTTATACCAATTTGTAAATAAAATGATTTCAAAAAACACAAGGTCTTTCCTCGTAACTCCAAAAGTATAATCAATTTTGGGACGGAGAGAGTACTTAAAAACTACATAAAAAGATGTACAAAATAATAGGTGACATGTGTATATTCTTTTATCAAATGATACATGATAACTGATAATGGGATAATCTTTCATATTAATGTAATGATCATTCCATTCCATTTTCTAAACGAAAAATCGAGTACATTTCCGAACACTTTTGTCAAATGGTGGCAAAAAGACTCAAGAGCATAGTGATTGGGACAAAGAATAGAATGCTTACTAGAATCAGTGTAACCAGAGGAGTAGTATACTACTCCAGACCCTGCTACAGTCCCCGCTACAACTCGCAGGATTGAGTTCTTATCCCAAACTGTGATTTTACTCTACAAATTCAAACCCAATGGGGACGACAATCAAGTGAGAAATGCACTCTAACAGTATCTTTCTCAATTATCATTTTTTGCATAAATGAATGCGAATTCAAATGAAATGATCGGAAATTTTCGCATACCAGAAGGTGCCTCATGATCGCGACAATTCGAACAATCCGCCAGATTCCTTCAACTGTCAAGCTAGACCAACGCGATCCAGCATCAACAGAAACCCCATCCGTCGCCTTTTTTTGTAGAGCAGAAGGAAGTCAAGGAACTTGAGAAAAAAGAAACAAGAGGGAATTTTAATTGGGCTTGTAATAGTCATCGCAAAGGTGAAACAAAAAAAAAGCCCATCAAACTCAATTTCTTTTTCATGTTTGATACAGAGCATTTAGATTTTGGATTAAATCCCAAAGTAGCCTTCAAAGTAGGTTTTTTTTAATGTCCTATTAAATGTTAACCGGATAACAATGTACTATTTGTTTAAAAAGTCTCAATCTAATAACATGCAAAGAATTAATTCATTTTCTCTGCTAGCGCTAGAACCTCAATAAAGTTTTCCATGAACTCTAGGTAATGGACAACCTATCACTCGAGTTAAAAGAAATTTTTTTCCTTCGAATATTATTACGTTAGCATAGTAGTTAGCAGGTGCATATGATATGAAAAGTAATTTTTTAAAATTTAAAATCCTAAATTTCAAATAAAAATACTTTCACATAAAGTGAATAATTTTCATATTGAAAATACAAAATTTATATTTACTCCATGCTTTTAAAATTTTTACTCTCTCAATTTATATTACGGAGTACTTTTTTTGGTTTATGATATTTAATTAAAACTATATTTAATTTAAATTATTTGAATATTGAGATGTGATTAAAAAATAAAAATTATACATTTAAAAAAAACTACAACAAAAGATCTTTAAAACAAGAAATGACATTAATATGCTATTAATTTTATTTTATCAAACAAGTTGCAAGATAATTTTAAAAGGTGAATAAAATCTTGATAATATAAATAATGAACATAGACTATAATTTAGAACAGACATAAATTAAATTATTATTTTTGATGGGTGTATTTCACCCAAGACCGGTCAAAGGAGAAGGCCAAATTTTTGACCGGTCAATCTCGAAAGTTTTGGAAGGGAGACTTTAATCGTCAGCAAAACGATGTATCATCGGCCAAAATTTGACCGGTACACTTCACAAAAAGTATACCGGTCAAACTACGTTGTCATCCCATTTGTTCCAGACTTCGATAAATTCATCCCTCGGAGATTACCCGGTGTAGTTTCTGGGGTTGGAAAGTGTCGGCAGGAGAGGATCTGCGAGGATTTGGCGTGCAGCGACCCGTGTCAGTAGAGGACAACTGGAGATGCTGAAGAATCCATCCAAGGCACTACTTGACAAAGGGAATGATCCCCTTCACAAGGCGACAAGGCAGCTTGAGGACGAAACCAGTCACCTCGCACCACATCGGCAGCATGCCCCCACGTGGGCGCACGTGGTCCTGTCCCCTTGACCTAGTATAAATATTCATGTAAACCTCAGAAAGAGGGATCCGAATTCATTCTCTCTAAACTCCCGTGTAAAAGCACCCGTGCATTCTCCGTTATAATATAAATTGGGTTACATGTGTTCCACCTAAAATCCTACCGGTCAATCTACGAGTTTTTACCTTTCTTACTTTGCCAAATCAAGCGAACTATTCTAGACCCGGTCTAGTATAGTTTGACCGGTCAAATAATTTACACCATCATTTTTGGCGCCGACCGTGGGACCGTTAAGGTTTCTTCTCCTAAACACAAACCTACCCACAAAAACACCACTCGAAATGTCTTCCAGCCAACAGATCAACGCTACTTCCGCTCAGGTGCGAGCCACCAATGAGGGCGCCAGCATCCCTGTGGCCGCTACCATACCGGTCATTTCAGCCCCGGTGATGCCTTTGGGTCTGAGCTCTGTCCCGACGGCCAGCGTAATCAGTCCCTTCGTGACCCCCGTCCCTTCCGCTGGACCGAGGGTAACGTTCCCACCAAGCATGGCTCAGTTCATGAATGACCCAGCCAACCTCCAAGCCATCCAGGGCTTCGGCCAGGTCATGGCCATGTGCCAGCAGAACGGGGGGATGCCTTTCCTCCCTGGTATATTCCCATTCGCCCTTCCAAGCGCGGGGACCATGCCCCTACAAGCTCCGATGGCGGTGACGTCGTTCCAGACGCCGATGCCGCAACCATCACCTTTCCAGCCCCAGCTGGTCAGCACCATGGCCCCTGTCAACTTGGCCGGTGCACTTAACGCTGCAGGGCCGTCGCGTCCCCCACATGCTACGGATCCGCAGGTCACTCTTGACGGTCATTGCGTCTCGATTGAGAGCGATGACGACGAGTGGGACATCCCGAGGGCCCACAAAAAGAAGAAAGGAAAAAACATCCGGCCAGCGACCTCCCGAAACTCCGCCTTCGAAAGGCTGGGGGATAGGGAGGAAGGCCAGAGGAAGTCAGCCAAGCAGAGGCTGGGGCAGAGTGTTGCCCATGTCAGCGCGTTCGCCCGGATAGGCGAGGTGCGAGAGGCCGAGCCTGCCCGCACCCGGCGCTCCCGGTCTAACCGGCAGGAGCCAGCGAGAACGAGGGCCTCCCACCAAGAAGGGGAGGCAGAAAGCCAGCCCAGGTTACCAGTGGCGAACCGGTTAACCATCCCAAACGACCGCGTCCAGCAGATGGAGGCAAAGCTGGAAAGGCTGGAGAAGAAGGTCGGGGAGAAAAATGACCGGGACAAACCCCTGGCAGGGTCCCCGTTCACCACAAGGGTCCATCTGACACCTTTCCCGCGAAAGGTCAAGATCGACGCCCCCAGATTCACCGGGAAGGAAGATCCGGAGATCCACCTGGACTCCTTCAACCAGAGTGCGACCATGAACGGTTGCACCGATGAAGAAAAGTGTCTACTTTTCTTCCAGACCTTGAGGAACCGAGCCACTGAATGGTTCAATAAGCTTCGCCCGGGAAGCATTGACTCGTTCAGTGATTTGGCCTCAAAATTCAAGGCCAAGTTCCAGGAGAATTGTACTAAGAGGAAGAAGTTCACCTATCTTAGTACAGCCGGGCAGAGGGAGTCTGAGAACCTCACTCAGTTCCTTACCCGGTGGAAGGAAGAGGTAGGCAAGGTGGAAGAGATGGATGACAAGACCGTCCTCTCCCTCCTCTTGAATGGCTTGCGTGCTGGGGAACTATACAAGGAGTTCTGCCGGAAACCCCCAGCCACGTACCAAGAGGCCTACCATACTGCATGGGAGTTTGCTGAAGCTGAAACCCAGCTCCGGGCAAAGAGAGAAGCTGAGCATGGTCACAAGCCCAAGCCGGTGCAAGTCAAGAAGGAAGAAGCACCGGGACCTAGCCGGCCGAGGCACCACTATGACCCGGTCATCCGAGTGGTCAATACAGAAGAATGCCAAGAAGTCCGGAAAGCACCGGTCATTCCTCCAGAAAACCCTACCGGTCAAGTAGGGCGGCAGTGGTCGGGCACCTATTGTTCGTACCACAGGTCTGATTCCCATAACACCTCCGAATGCAAGAGTGTTAAAGGGGTCATCCGGCAGATGATCGACAGTGGAGAGCTGGGCAAAGATTACTTGCAGAAAGCCCAGGAGAAGAGTCATCAGTGGGTTAGGCCAACTGCCCCAGGGAATGACCGGGACAATGACCGGCGGAGGAATAACCGGCCAAGGGAGCGGCAACCTGCCCCCGAAAAAGAACACATCGGCATGATCTTCGGCGGACCCGAGGGTGGAGATTCAGCCGCGCAGCGGAAGAACTGGGTCCGGAGCATTTACGT